GCCAAGTTTCGATCAAATACACTGAATGGTTTTCGAATTCTGCCCCGGAAACGAACCCCATCCCCAATTGAGTCTACGTCCAACTTCATTCCATAAAAATTTAAAAAAATAAAAATTCGAAAAAATCCCAAAATATCAAAAGGCACCACTTCAGTATATGCCTGATAGCTTTGCCAAGTTTCGATCAAATACACTGAATGGTTTTCGAATTCTGCCCCGGAAACGAACCCCATCCCCAATTGAGTCTACGTCCAACTTCATTCCATAAAAATTTAAAAAAATAAAAATTCGAATAAATGCCAATATATCAAAAGGCACCACTTCAGTATGTGCCTGATAGATTTGCCAAGTTTCGATCAAATACACTGAATGGTTTTCGAATTCTGCCCCGGAAACGAACCCCATCCCCAATTGAGTCTATGTCCAATGTCCAACTTCATTCCATAAAAATTTAAAAAAATAAAAATTAGAAAAATCCCAAAATATCAAAAGGCACAACTTCAGTATATGCCTGATAGCTTTGCCAAGTTTCGATCAAATACACTGAATGGTTTTCGAATTCTGCCCCGGAAACGAACCCCATCCCCAATTAAGTCTATGTCCAATGTCCAACTTCATTCTATAAAAATTTAAAAAAATAAAAATAAGAAAAATCCCAAAATATGAAAAGGCACCACTTCAGTATGTGCCTGATAGATTTGCTAAGTTTCGATCAAATTCACTAAATGGTTTTCGAATTCTGCCCCGGAAACGAACCCCATCCCCAATTGAGTCTATGTCCAATGTCCAACTTCATTCCATAAAAATTTAAAAAAATAAAAATTAGAAAAATCCCAAAATATCAAAAGGCACCACTTCAGTATATGCCTGATAGCTTTGCCAAGTTTCGATCAAATACACTGAATGGTTTTCGAATTCTGCCCCGGAAACGAACCCCATCCCCAATTGAGTCTACGTCCAACTTCATTCCATAAAAAATTAAAAAAATAAAAATTCGAAAAAATCCCAAAATATCAAAAGGCACCACTTCCGTATGTGCCTGATAGCTTTGCCAAGTTTCGATCAAATACACTGAATGGTTTTTGAATTCTGCCCCGGAAAAGGAAATGATTACAGACGGACAGACAGACTGACTGGCTGATCGCTATATCCCCCCGCATTATCTGGGGGGGGGGGGGGGGGGGGGGGGGGGGGTAACCCTTTCCATAATCATAAGAAATATCTGCTAAAAGCAGATTCCATTGTACGATTCCGACTACATCATAAGGATGTGTTTATGAACCACTATCATATAGTGATGATACCGATTGGTATAAAACCTGTATTTAATGGACGCTTCTGGCATAAAGAAAAGAAAAAGAAACTTCTCTTAAGCGGACATAGATGTCATTGTGTCTGGAAAGTAATTTTGACAACCTGAATTCAGTCGCCACAAATACTGTGACTAATAATGCAAAGAGGAACATTTGGAAAATATCGCCACAACGTAAGCGCCATTTTTTAATGATATGTTAAAATGTAACTCTTATAAAATCTAAGACCAATGTAAGTTAAATATTTTTTATATTTTTTTTTAACATTATATACTGAACTGCAAAAGAAACGTCACCCCCAGTAACATTGTCCGGAAAAATGAAATTTGATGATAAACAAAATAAAGCAGATTACAATAAAACCGATAGCCCAAACGCATTACGGCAACGGTCATGGTAACCCGATGCACGTGATTTCCATGCAAATTGAAATGCACATGCGTTCCCCCATTTCTTGCCCTATAAGAATCAACCCAGATCGGATATAACATTCATTCGTTAATGAATTGCTACCACATGCCAAGATTGACAAGAAATCAGCGACACCAAGCCCTTGGTCGATTGCAAGCTGGACAAACCGCCCACCCGGCAAGTAGCCAATGCATTTCCAGTCCACGTAAGGACCATACACAGGCTTCAGCAACAGTACCAGACCACAAACACTACAGATGACCGACCATGTAGTGGAAGACCAAGGGTCACCACCCGACGTCAGGATCGTCAGATTGTGCGACAGCATCTTTAACATCGCTTTGTTACTGCTGCGGAAACTGCTCGACAGACCATTGGGACACACCAGCAACAGTGCGGACACCGTGCGTCGACGATTGACGAGCAGACACCTCCACTATCACAGGCCAAACCGAGGACCCATTCTGACACCACGTCATCGCCGGGACCGTCTTCAGTGGGCAACACAGCACCAGCATTGGCGCCACCAGCAGTGGAGAAGGGTCCGCTTCTCAGACGAGAGCCGTTACTACTGTATCTCAACAGCAGATGGCAAAGAGAGAGAGAGAGAGAGAGAGAGAGAGAGAGAGAGAGAGAGAGAGAGATATTCTGGCGACGCCGCGGCGAACGTTATTCGGATGCTTGTGTAGTTGAGAGAGACTCTTGGGGTGGTCCGAGCATCCTGGGTCGGGGTGAAACTTGTTTTGCCCTGTTGTTTTCCAGAACATCGGTCCAGGGAGAGGCAATGGTGTCACAGCAGCTCGGTACATTGATCAAGTCTTGAGACCACACGCCATACCAAACCTCATTTGGCACGTCGCCCCAACCACGAGTTTCAGCATGATAACGCCCGTGCCCACACTGCGAGATCAACAAGAGATTTCCTCTAGCAGAAGGGCATCGGAACCATAGGGTGGCCTGCCCTAAGTCCCGGTTTAAATCCCAGTGAGCACCCGTGGGACGAGATTGAAAGACAGCTGAATGACGTCCGACCACGACCGACAACTGCAGTTGAACTGCGTCAGGCGTTCCTCAGGGTGTGGGCTCAAGTGCCTATGGCCTTCATCAACCGCCTCATCCATTCCATGTATTGACGTTGCACGGCAGTCATCAATGCACATGGCGGACACACGAGATACTGACTTGTGATGCCATTTTCTCAGAGACTATTGTTGTGTTTCACTTTAAGAACATTTGACACTTTAATTTCAACCTTGATGATCAGTTTTGCCAAGTTTCATCTTTTGTCTCAAAGTCTGTTTACGGTGTTTGGACAAATAAGGTTTCTCATATATCTTCCCATTGTGGCGTTTCTTTTGCGGTTCAGTATATATTTATTAGTTCAACTAACCAAAGTTAATTTAGTCTGAATGTTTAAGATCGTAACAAGAGTTTCAAGGTTAATAAATTGTGAAGGAATAATGATAAAGAAGAGAGCGGAAAGTGTTTTTGGTTGACGTGGTTAAAACAAACTGGCAAGATTATTTTCCTTTGTTTTGTATTTATTTATAACCCAACAAACCTCTAACTACCACTTTAATTTTAAATGTTATTACACACTCACTATTGTTGGAATATATTTTTTTAAAGAACAGGAGTGTGAGTGAGTGCTTGTTCCCTAACAACACATCGGTCTTGCAGTTATTCATGGTTAGAAAAGGAAGTGATATGATTTAGGAATCAAGTAACATCTTACATGAACATTTGTACACAGTGCATTTTTGTTTTCCAAATAAACATATCAATTTTGAATAATCTTCCAGGAAATAAGACAATTAGATTGAAAACAATACAAATATTTGTAAATGTCAGACTGAATGCATTCTTGGTTTCCAAATAAACATATCAATTTTGAATAATCTTCCAAGAAATAAGACAATTAGATTGAAAACAATACAAATATTTGTAAATGTCAGATTGAATGCGATCGGTGACATACCCCGGCATGAAGAAGTACGAACGAAATGGACAGATATAAACGCATGTGTCAAGAAGGCAGTGTCATCCAGGAGGCTGAAAATGGTGATGGATATTGCCGGATGATCTAACTACAAGTGGGTGACATCATGAGCATCAATCTACGCCACTGAGATACGAAGACGTGCATCAACCAAGTCAGCGAGCCTGACTACCCGATCCCGTTAGTCCCATCTGTCGACAAACATAGTCGCATTTTACGGCAAGCATTCTGACTCGGATCCTGTAATTTAATGAAGTTATATGACTAATTTTGAAATATTGACAATATGTGTTAATAATTACACCAATGAAAGTTTAAAAAACGTATGTATCATTTTGACAGTGTTTAACATGATCCGTTTAGTAGCTGATGAACATGAATAAACAACAAAGGCATCAATCTATGGTAAATAATTCTTCCGAATCATTGCTTTCTTTGTAAAAATACTAAATTTGTGATATTTTGTTGAAAAAATATATAAAATAATATACAATTAACGTAACAGACAGACAGACAGAGATAAAAAGATAAGAAAGCTAAGGTGACACCAGGTCCCACTTGCACAAAGCGATCTTAACGCTACAATTATTGTAAGCATATGTTAAAGTATAGGAGTTGAAATCATCTTAGCGCTAAGATTGCTTTATGCAAGTAGGCCCAGGTGTGCGCGAAGACAGCAAACTGGTTTTACAAAGACACTGCTTGAGCACTGCTTTCTTTATGGGAACGATTTTGTATATTTATTTATGCTTTCGAGAAGTTCACAAGAGTACGGAAATGAATGCTGTATAAAGCTGCAGTGTGAAATAGGTCAGTACGGAATCTGGGAGGGGTAAACCAGCAACTGAAAGCAAAGACTTTTTGCCTTTTGTCTTTGTTTGTTGGATCGGGTGGTCAGGCTCGCTGACTTGGTTGATACATGTCATCGATCCCAATTGCGTGGATCAATGTTCATGCTGTCAATCACTGGATTGTCTGGTCCAGACTCGATCATTTACAGACCGCCGCCATACAGCTGGAATATTGCTGAGTGTTGCTAAACTAAACTAAATTAATTAAATTAAAAAAATACGATGTCGATAGTGTAGTGCAATATGTTTACATTAAAGTTTTAAAAAATATGGGGGATAAATAATTTGCAATATGCTAAAATACATCCTCGTAAAAAGCATTCTTAGTATACATAGTGCACACTTCAGTAGTTTGTACATGGCATCAGATGTAATTGTCATATTAGTCGTGGTACAATCCAGCTGACCCAGTTTTAAAGGTTATTAGCACTGCATCAACAAAAGTATTTCTATCTGTTCACTAATGCGAGTTGAAGGCAACGAGGACAGACATCAACATTTTGAGGATAATGAAGGTTTCGGTATTCAGCTTAAAGATGTCTTCCCTGTGGACAATGTTTGTCTGTGTTTCCCACTTGGCAACATTAGTGATTACGTTGGACGCTAAGGAATTCGTGGTTCGAGACACCCATTATGGCCAGATCAGAGGCACTGTTAAAACTGTTCTGGGCTCCAAGAAGATTGAACAATACTTCAGCGTTCCTTATGCAGCACCTCCTGTTGGAGAACTCCGATTTGAGGTGAGATGCAATTTGGATTTCTACTGTTCGAATATTGTTTGGTCTGTTGGTTTGTTGTTTAACGCCGCACTCAGCAATATTCCAGCTATATGATGGCGGTCTGTAAATAATCGAGTCTGGACCAGACAATCCAGTGATTGATATCATGAGCATCCATCCACGTAATTGGGATCGATGACATGCATCAACCAAGTCAGGGAGCCTGTCCACCCGATCCCGTTAGTCGCCTCTTACGACAAGCATAGTCGCCTTTTACGGCAAGCATGCTGAAGACGTACATGTATTCTACCACGGACCCTCACGTCGACTATTGTTGGTGGTGGTGTCTATAACTTTGACACAGTTAAGATCCCCACGGTATAACCATATGTACAATTGAGAGTATAATGAGAGGAATGCACATATGCTACCAGGACTGGCCCTTCTGTTCATCTGTCCGGCACTCCCAAAGGAGTTAGAACCTTGACCATAACATGCAAACCTATATTATCCCAACCCTATTATAAACATATACATTGTATACATTTGTTTGTTATGAAGAGAATAATACCTTTCATATGATTTAACCTGGATCATAACATGGAAACGGTTCAGATCTTTATGCTACATTTGTATCTAGAGAAATACACGTTCATGCTGTCTGATTTGCCATCCACCCATTCTAAGTGCTGACACTAAGTGCTCAAAATTACGCAATATTTGCAGTATAATATACATGTACATTGCAAATGTATATTTTGTCATGGTTGCGTAAATATCTAGGTGAGCGATACAGGCCCTATAGGCCTCTTGTTATTAATGTAGATTGGTTTTGTCTATTTTGTTGAACCTGCCCAGATCTACAGCTCTCTTAATAAAAGCATCGGCATAAACGGCTTATATACCTGGATATCCTTTAAGATAACCGATATATCTGAATAACAAGAGTTAACATGACGTTATCCATTCTGCATCCAGTATCTGTCCTAGCATTACACCAATATTTGTTAACAGGATCCCGAGGAACCAACTACTTGGAAAGGTATACTAAACACGACAGTGTTTCCACCTGCTTGTCCACAGATATCCTCAATGTGGAGTTATGTGAAATCCCATCGCCCAGGATTCAACAACAGCGACGAAGACTGTTTATACATCAATATGTATGTTCCCCAGGTGCGTCCATTTAAACATTTTTTATATTGTTAAAAGTGGGATGGTGGCCGAGGATTCGGTTAAAAAAGAAAACAGAAAATACTGGAACAGGTTTGCCTCTGAGTCAGATTTTGAATACACAAATAACTGATGGCTGGATATGATGGATGTCTCGAAAACAGTGTGTTGTAAAACAAAAGTGTTTGTCTCAATCTTTCAGAGAAAGTCTTGAAGCAATAACCCATAACATGAAATGCTCGATCATTTATGAGTTATTACCATCATGGCTTCAGGCGAAACCCAGGGCGGAGCTAAAATCTTTAAATTCCCTGAATGAACAATCACACAGAAATACAGAAGAAACATCTGAAGTATTTAAAATGTTTTTTTTTAGCCTTTTTTAAGATACTGAAACAACACTAATCATAACTTAGAAGAGTGTTGTGAGAGCCGTCTCGGGCTCGGGACAAATGGGTTGCTAAAATTAAAAGTTGACCTGTTAATAACCATCATGGCTACAGGCGTGACCATGACCCCAGGGGCTCCCAGAACCAAAGATGACATAGTGAAGAAAACTCACCTGAATGTAGCAAGGTACATACCATGCCACGCGCTATTGCATGAAATGTAAAACTGTAGCTAATTTCAAATAAAAAGTAATTAATTATTGTTGAATATTTCTAAGTTTTTAGTTTATTTTGTAATTATTATTTACTGTGTAGGTAATTGCAATATTCCATATTGCTAAATATGCAATAAATTTGGTAAATACAATTATAAAGCACTACTTTGTATATTTCAGTGTACAAGTGCATAAGTTATGAAATTTTATTGGCCTTCAAATTATATCGTTCTCTTACCTGGTAGCGTAGTATATTATTATTGGTATTAAGTATGGATTGGGTTGTTGCGATGTCCTGAAATGTATATTTTGGTAACACAAGGTGTTTGTAGTAAGTTACATGATGTTTAGGTCGGTGGTGCCAGCAGTAACAGTGCCTTTTGGTTCTGTTATTGGGTTAGGTTCTGTGATGTTGTAGTAGTACAGGGTTGTACAGGGCGAAGTAACAGATCTGTAAGATTTTCCATCATGGAAATGGACATGTAGCGTTTCATTTAATTGCTGTTGTCTGGCCTTGGTATATCAACAGGGGGCACGGGTGGCCCATTCGCCTAAGGCGCCGCGATTCGCTGTGCAGAGTTGCGTCCCCAGGACACGCCAGAAACCTATGATTGTGGGTTCGAATCCCGGTTCGCCCCGATTATGTTTCTAGGTTTGTCAGCACCATACCCGTGCTCGTGGGTTTCACCGAAGTGGTAAACGTCTGAGACCTGCATCACTTCGGGCTTCTTCCCACATTAAGCTGACACGCCGTGATCTAACTTGAATAATGTTAAAAGCGGCGTCAAACCCAACTCACTCAATCACTAGTACATCAACAAGCAGACTGTATTCTCTCCAAATCGACTTATCCTGGGTCTGGAAGTCAACCAGACAGCAGATCTGATCAGTTCAACTGATCATGATGCGCTCTCGTACATTAATCAGCAGGAAGCAGCTCTTCAGGACGCCCATGAACGGATGAAGCATGATCATGGCCTACGCTCATCAGCCACATTATATGAGAAGAGAGAGGTGGTCTATATCCTCAACTGAGCTACAGTACTGTGTATATGCAAGAAGCTGCAACCAGTGTGGAAACAGCCAGGAGTAATTACACAAAATCTTTCTCCTATCCTGTCTGAGGTTAGAGGAGAGATCCAAGTCATCAGTACTACACCGTGGCAGATTGAAAAAATTGTCAAGACAGACATCTAGATACCAAAGCTCCAGAATGGCTTACTGTATGGATCCGATCTTAACGCTGAGTGTGACCTCCACGTGGAATGGCTGTCTATGGACACATTAATATATTATAATGTGGAAAGCTTATAATTGCGAGTGACAGATGCAATGAATGGTTCCATGGTTCATGTCTAGGAATCACCTCAAAGCCTGGTAGTTAGAGGAATACGTCTGTCCTAACTGTGCTGTATACATAAAATATAGAGTAAAGATTAAACCATAAAAGGCCTAAATGAAAAATATATTCTAGCCGTAAGTAAGTAATAATGGGACATGTATTCTTGCTGAAAATGATTGCATACCGGAATGTTTTAAAATGGGGCACTTAATCTTACGTTTTACGGAAATATACAGATATCAACCTCGCAGTTGCCAAGATGCACTCTGAGCATCGTCAGAGGAGTAGCTACCCACCAAGAGGTGGAGCCTGTCATCACGATGGATCCACCTACACCTGGGCTGGGGAGGACTACGGTCTAGGCACAGCCCAGGCACAAGAAGCGACCCGTAGACCGAGACAACGCAGGACCAGAAAGGCTAGAAAGACCAGAAAAAACAGGCTGGGAAAGTCCACACATAGCCCATGCGAAAGTACTGACCAATGACCAATAGAGGACGGGAGTTGATGTTACCAAGCTATGCCCTACACCAAGTAGGAGGGAACGAAGAGCATGTACACCCAATCCATGGACTGTACCATCTCACAAAAAGGAAGGACGAACTGTATTCCGTTCCCGGTCAAAAGATCCGAACTGCAGACAGGGAAACCGAGTTGAGTGTACTTGATTGTAAGCGGTTGATCTGAAGTTACCAACGTTAACTCGATTTGACACGTGATGGAGGGAGTTTTTGTCTGGTTGGCATACATTTTATTTGCATCTGAAAAAGAAATCTTATTTTCACTACTGGGGATACATTCTAGCCCGAGTAACCACAGCGGACTGTGTCACTAGTGGAATGTTAAGAACTGTACCAGCTGAACGTTCGTGAAAGTCATCCCGCTAGTAATGCATGTAGCTCATAACCTGCACAGCATAATGCTGATGAGCAAATGCTTCGCAAACTTATGTAATAGAAAATAGACAAACTACAGAACTACATAATTCTGATTGATCATACAGTAACCAAACGATTGACGATCATGCTGGTTTCCGCTGCAGCATCGTCTTTGTTGACACGCGGTGGCGGGTTGGGAGCAGAGTTGCTGAAACGCATCCCTCTACCATGGCCCATGCATTACAGTACGGTTCTGCAAAAACTTATAAAATAAGACATCTTGCTAAGACATCGTTCATCTAAGACGTCTGATGAAGAAGTTTCTCCTTTAGCTTCTGATTCCTTGCCAAAATTCTTGGTTATTGAAGCTGTGGACGGAAGTCCTTTGAAACTGAATCCATTTGCAATCTCCAAGGACATCCGAGGTGGAGATGTTAAACATGTCACTCGACTCTTTTAGTGGAATATGTAAAGATACAGTAATCTGGCAATCTGCTGGGTCTACAGCAGTTTGTAAACACCCAGTTGTTGTCTCAGTGCACAGGACACTGAACTCTTGCAGAGGCATCGTCGGGGACTGGTCACGTTGTCTTTCTAATATGTCAGAAAAAGAAATTGCAGCCGAGTTAAAAGGTTAAGGTGTCACTGTTGTGAAACGTTTTACCAGGGAAAAAGATTCAGACATTATAAACACAAATACGCACTGACAGTTCTTCCCAAATCTACTAAAACCCGGAAACTTGGAGTGGAGGTATATATAACAAATCAACCATGTAGTTTTAAATGCAAAATGTTTGGCCGTGGTGCAGAATTTTGCCATGGCAAAACGAAATGTTCCCGTTGCGGTTGAGTTCATGTGAGCTCAAAATTATGGAACTCAAATGCAAACAAAATATTGTTGACCACCTAGATCGTTCAGAATCATTCATTAAATATTTCATTGTAAATAACCAGCATGCTGTATCGATCTTTTTCGACCTTGAAAAAGCTTATGATACAACATGGAAACATGGTATTGTAAAAGATTTACATGACTTTGGTTTTAGAGGCCGTTTGCCTCATTTTATATCACAGTTTTAACTGACAGACAGTTTCAGGTCCGTGTTGGATCATTCCTATCGGAACATTCTAATCAGGATCAGGGGATTCCACAGGGCACTATTTTGTCCGTCACATTTGTTAGTATAAAAATAAATAGTCTATCAAAAGTATTACATGACTCAATTGATGGGTCATTGTTTATGAATAATTAAATGAATATCTCATGTCGTGGTAAAAATATGCGTACTATTGAACGCCAATTACAGTTGCGATTAAAATAATTCATAAATGGTCACATGAGAGTGGCTTTAAATTTTCATAGACCAAGACCAATTGCATACATTCCTGTCGATAATATGATCCCGATATAGAACCCGAACTCCTTTTAGATGGCACCAAGCTCAGGCTGCCCGTGATTAAATGTTTGTCGTTGTTCCCACTAACAATTTCAAAATAACAAAACCAATATTAGCCAGTATATTAACTGAGGAATAAATGTGCCAAACTCAAACAACAATACTATCAGCTTTTGGCTTGAATCTAATACTCGATGACATGCTTGTTACTCTTTTGTACTGGATTTCATAACCATCCGTAGAACAGATAATATATTCTTCCCTGTCACAAAGATTAATCATAAGAATTAATCTTTATATTCACAGAAAGTAATCAAGACAAGTTGAATTCATACCATGTGGATTCTCAAAAACTCAAAGCAGGTGCTTAAATTTTTGCAATCGTGGAGCGGAACCATTTGATTTTTCAACTTTGTACACAACTATCCCACACTGAACGTGGTGACCATAGATATGATTACATCTGTATCCTTTCAGGACAACTTGCCGAAAAGGTTTAATGGGAAAACGATGTTAGAAACGTTATACTTTCTCACTGATAACATCTAAATGTACATATCTTAATGGGCACCAACTATCCTCCTATTGTTGGTAATCTTTTTCCTTAGGCATATGAATCGAAATTTCTGCTCGGATTGTCACAATCACAAGATAATTGGGCCAATACCTTCAACTTGAGTTTGCGGTATATCTATGATCTGATATAGTTCAATAATGGTATCTTGCATTGATACGCGACCGCCTCCGTGGTCAAGTGGAGCGTCTGCTAGGAGAGGGGAGAGCGTCATGCCAAAGACGTTAAAAGATGGTACTTGTTGCTACCCTGCCCGCCGCTGGGCATAAAAGGAATAAAACAAGGACTGGTCTGCTCGTTGTCAGTATACATTGTTATAGTTGGATAAAATGCAGCATGGTATCTCAGTTGGCTAGCACTATTAACCCGGCTCGCGCGCGCACGAACGAACGAACGAACGCTCGAACACACGTACATGCGCACACAGACACACACATACACTTCCAACAGTCAACTTTCCCTTTATGTCCAGTAATACACCCGTTGGTGTTTGCCCTTTCGAAAGGTGTAATAGACTTATGCTAAACAGTTATTTGCTCGTGATTACAACATTCAACGCCTAAGTTAAGCTTTCAAAAGGTTTCACGGTAGACATATGGAGGACATTTACAAACTTGAGGCATCACTGACAAAAAATGATGTAATCCCCTATTTTGACATGTGTTGACATGTTTATGCGTGAACAATTGACTTGCCTTTACATGTGTTTGTGCTGAGAGCCATCGGTGGAACACGATACGATCACCTTTTCGCAAACATCAGTCATCAGTCAATCAGTATTTGATAGTTGTTCATAAAGACATGCTTAAGATATAGTCAGAATCATACAATCTATAATGATTATGAAAATAGGTTTGTCGCTTTTCGTTTTATGCAAATCTCTGGTTATGACCATGGGCATGGCATCGCGATCGTGTGGCAGCTTTTTCGACTGGTGAATGAATTGAAAAGGTTAACACTTAAAAAATATCGAATAGTTAATTAATCCCAATCTTAGGGGGCACGGGTGGCCCAGTCGTCTAAGGCGCCGCGATTCGCTGTGCAGAGTTGCGTCCCTTGGGCACGCCAGAAACCCATGATTGTGGGTTCGAATCCCGGTTCGCCCCGATTATGTTTCTAGGTTTGTCAGCACCATACCCGTGCTCGTGGGTTTCACTGAAGTGGTTAACGTCTGAGACCTGCATCACTCCGGGCTTTCCTCCCACATTAAGCTGACACGCCGTGATATAACTGGAAAACTGTTAAAATCGGCGTTATACCCAACTCACTCACTCACTCCATTCGGTTAATTTATTTCAGTTAAACGGTCAAACCTGATGCAACTGATATCGTTTAGTATTTACAAAAATACAGAATATTTCAAATTAACTCAAACATAAAAACAAGGTTAAATGGAGCTGATGTTTCATGGATACATTCACAGACAACTATATGTATTCGACTCAACCCAAAAAAGTACGAGAATCTGTTCTTTACTAAGAAAGTGTTATCCCAAATATAACATTTGTTAAGTTCACTACAGCTGAATTATTCAGTCACTATGTATCTATCCTCAAGAATGGAGAAAGCGAAAGCAAGTTGGAGGTCCTTGTTCACATCCACGGAGGCAGCAATCATGTTGGCATGGGAGCCATGTTAGATATGGACTTGTTGGCAGCTCAAGGGGAAATCATCGTTATCAATTTCAACTACAGACTAGGTGCTCTCGGTATGTACAAATGTAAAATTTGTAAAAAAAAACACTAATGGAATTAAACTTATGGCGAACGCTCATCTAGAAATGAATTAGTAACCTTATAACGTATAGATAATGTCTAACTTTAACACGTGGTATTAATTACAATGTAGACCGAGGCTAGAATGGTTCCAGGGATTTCTTTGAGATTTACAACAACCTCAATTGCATATCACAGGTTTTCTGAGCGGTAGACGACCGGAGTTTCCAGGAAACTATGGCCTGCTGGACCAAACTGCAGCTCTACAATGGGTTTCTCGAAACATTCATTTCTTTGGAGGAGACCCAAACAAAGTTACAATCGAAGGACACAGTGCAGGGGCGGCAGATGTCGGCTACCATATTGTGTCGCCACTGTCAAAAGGTACAAGTTAGAAACAAGAAGACCAGAGCGCGTTAAAAGCTCTAATCTCTTTTTACGTAGATATTGCATCCAAAACTCAAATGATCAATTTCAGGATTATTCCGCTTCGCCATCATCCAAAGTGGGTCACCAACAGCCCACTGGGCATCATCATTTCAGCATCAACCTGAAAACGTCCTTACCAAGTACCGCGAGGATCTCGGTTGTGACACTTCCACTGACCTGCGGGAACTTAAGCAGTGCCTAAAGACAAAGGGATGGAGAGATATAAATAATGTACATTACAAGTTTGATGTGAGTACATGCGATGCTCATCCGTGTCTGTATACACCTGTACACATATGTATTGTTGTGTCATGTTAATATTTTTTTCTGGGTCCATATTCCACTAAAATAGTTTAGTCATGAATGCGTTTTCGTCTTATATTTGTCAGATGATACTTAAAACGTCAAGAAGCTTGTGTCACCATGAGTGTTTTTATAATTTTCCAGTGTGTTCCTCGAGCCTTTTGTTTGTCTCCAGTAATTGACGGGTTCTTTGTACGAAAGCACGTGGACATTCTGTTTAAAGAGGCTGAACTAAATGGGAAAGCCTTTATGGTTGGAATAACAAGGGATGAGGGTACGGTCTTTGATCTTTAGATGCTTGCATATAGATATGCTAGGAATAAGGTTGTTACATTCAGTTCAGCAAAACTTAATGCCATTAAAGCGCTTTGAAGTACTTGCGTTTTACAACCCTCTGAAGATTTTCACTTATTATAGCTAAATGTATAAAATTGACGAATAGCAGAAGATCTACAATGAGATTTCATCGTCGGAATCGTACAATCGACACTTCTTTCAGCAAAGTTTTCTTATGAATATGGAAAGGGTTTTGTCGCTTTTATTTACATGGCTTATATGGGCTCTCACCGGAGGGACAGGATGCGCATGCCCTTTTGCGAATACCTGGTATCATCACAATTTGATAGTGATTCAGAAACCATGCTTTTGGTTTAGGCAGAATCGTACATCGCACTCTGCTTTTAGCAGATATTTGTTATGATTATGTACAAGTTTGGTCGTATCTATTATATGCATCATCTTCAAGTTTTTGTGAGAATGTGAAACTTAATTTGTTGCTAACGAACATAAGTGTAGAAAATGATAAGAACCATCACATATATCACAAGTGCATTGATAAGAGTACATTTACATACATGGTCATTATGAGCATATGGATAATATACTTTTTCACAAGAACGCTTTTGATTTAATTTCATTTTTGAGATGTATATGCGTTGATTCTATCATCCTTTAGGAAGAGAATGGGGGTTAACTGTTCCTTATTTCCTGACCCCAACGATTTTGGAAAAATACGCTCGCAGTGACATCGAATTGGGTATGTTTCTTAACTGAAATGTTGTACTTAAAACTGATTGTAACCAAGAGTATGACTGTATAGAACTAACAGTGTTTTGAGTTTTAAATCTACGAAACGCATGAAGGTAACAGTCGATTTATGTCCAGTCTGATACTTTACTTTGTCAAAGATGTGTTATTGCAGACATATTTGGGACATTTCCAAATTTGACGCATGTGTCCGAGGTAATTCCCTATTTAGACCTGTATTATGTGTTCCCGTGTATTCAAAGGTGAACAAGTAACTTGCCTTTGCATATGTTTAAGAAGGATGCCACCGTTGGGTCAGGATATGCTCACCTTTTCACGAACACCTGGTATCCTCACTATTTGATAGTGATTCATGAACACATGTTAATGACACAGGGGAAGTTCTTGCTGTGCACACTTCTTTTAGCAGAGATTTGGTATGATTAATTAAATGTTCTTCTCACTTTTATTTAAAACGAACCGAATTTCACTGATATGGCAATTCTTACTTGCCAGAAAGCCAATACGGTGTTTATTAGTCTTTATACTATGGGGATTAGTGTCATTCAGCTTTGAAAAGAATCATGAGTTTGCTTGAGTAAACGTTTTAAGTTTATATTTGAATAGTTAAATCATTGTTAAGATCATTGATCGTTTAGGAAAAAGAGTATGAGAATGTATATATCTTTACAATAGACATTCAATTAGGTTCCTCTTCCTAGTGACAAGCGGTATCATTGTGCACGAGTACTACCCTTGGAATGACCCTCTGAACAGGACGGCTCACATTATTGCATTCGGTGATGTAAGTATTCAATGATGGAAAGAGCCATACACGTTCTTTAGAAAAAGCTTCACATTAATATTTCTTCCTAGTGGCACAGTTATAACCTTAACATCTGCTGAATGACCGTCAATTCAAAATACAAAAATCCGTAAGAGGACATAAACTAATATCTACATTGATGCTCTTTGAAACTTTAAGATTTAGTAACTCTTCATGCTTACCAGGTAACCTTTTTTTATTGGACATATTTCTCAAATCTACAACCTACACAAGGAATACTGAAACACAAAAGCATATATACTAGCCACATAAAGAAACTATGCACGGAGAAATTATAGATATAAGGGCACACCGTCCATATATGAAATATAGGTTTGAAAACAGCAATTATTGGAGACATTCAAACGCTCATGCACGTGCCATACGATATGACGTCATTGATGGGGACCTATGGACGTGCAATATGTTACTGCACGTGCATCCTGTGCAGCGGTACACAGCATGTGCAACTCAAAATTCGCTGTCACTTTGGAAAGCATGATCTGTGGTCATTCAAAAATTCAAAACTTCTCAGGCGCAGACACAAGCATATCACAAGCAAATCATGCCAAGATTGACAGCTGCACAGCGCCATGAAGCCATTGGAATGATCCGAGCGGGAATGAGGCAACAACAGGTGGCAACACATTTCCAATGCCATCGTAACACGATATTGGCATTGGTGAGGCGTTATGAGAACACAAATGACGTTGCCGACCACCCACGTTCAGGACGTCCCTGAGTAACGACGCCAAGACAGGACAGATGGATTCGAGTTACACATCTACGACACAGGTTCCAAACGGCAGTAAGGACGTCCCAGACAATTCCTGGACTGCGCCGTATCCATCCCAACACTGTCAGGAATCGTTTACGTCAGTACGGGATTCGACCACGACGCCCTGCCATACGTCCCATCCTGACACACCGTCATCGAGGCAACCGTCTAAGATGGTGTCGAAATCATGTTCGCCAACCTCGAATATGGTGGAGAAATGTTGTCTTTACAGAAGAATCGAGGTTCAACATTTCCCACAGTGACGGGCGCCAACGTGTCTACCGGCGTTTGGGAGAACGTTATGCACGCAACTGTATTGTGGAGTGGAATCGTTTTGGAGGTGGCTCTGTGATGATTTGGGGTGGGATAACAGTACGGCACCGAACCCCTTTGGTGGTTGTTCAGGGCAATCTCACCGGTGTTGGCTACAGAGATCAGATTCTGAGGCCTGTGGTCATTCCTTTCCTGCAACGCCATGGCCCGGGATTGACATTTAAACAGGACAACGCTCGTCCTCACACGGCTAGGGTCGCAATGGATTTCCTTCACCATAACAATGTCATGTTACTGCCATGGCCTGCAAATTCTCCAGATCTCTCCCCAATAGAGCATGTGTGGGATGAAATTGAGCGCCGTCTGCGTCGTCTTCCACATCCTCCAGATAACATCCGTGACTTGGCACAGGATTTGAGGAGGATATGGCAGGCCATTCCCCAGGCCTTCCATGCCCATTTGGTGGACTCCATGCGTCGCCGATGCACTGCTGTGATTCCCGCACAGGGTGGTCATACCCGTTATTGACTTTGTGACTTTGTCGTTTGACCCCCTACTCCATTTTGATCTTCTGACGTCATCGTAACAGATGTTGTTCAGGTCCCGTTGACATTTTCTTATGGTCCGATCATTCAGCTGCTACAGCGTCTGCATCATTTTGATCTTGCTGTGCTGTATTTCAATCCAGAATATATTTTCTCCGTGCACAGTTTCTTTATTTGGCTAGTATATGTAGGCTTAAAATGTCCGCTCCATTTAGAACCACCACAAATCATAGTATCAACTTTCTTGTAAATGAAAAAAATCACATATGCAATATCTGTTTTCAAGACAGATGTAAATAGCATTACATTTTGTAAATATTTCCCTTTGGCGCTACATGAATCAACAATATATTGGGTCAATGTTCGTTGTTTTTATTCTGCTTTATGACCTGTACTCGTCTTCCTGCTCTATTATAGATTTGGGGGGATAATGACGTCGCCGCCCCTACCTTCGATGTAGCTACACGTCTCGCTGCCAGAACGGACAACGTCTACTTTTATTCATTTGACTATGCATCACCAACTGCCACGGTGCCGGGTATGTACATGATCAACGTTGATTTTGATAGGTGAGAGACGTATGCTAGCTTCTGAAATAGTATTTATTACGAACATGAAACAAGAGTGAGTGAGTGAGAGTTGGTGTGTGTTTGTGTGAGTGAGTGAGTTTTAACGCCGCTTTGATAAGGTATATACCACGAGATCAGAATTATATTTAATGCATAGTTTGAACAAATACCAACACCAAATGTAAAAGTAAGGCAAAACGTTTTCGAAATAGGATCATTGTAGTGTTTGCTGCCAAGCGTTTTCCAATAGTTTATCATGAGTAAATCTTTAGCCGGTACTTATATATTTCTGGGAAGTAGTAGGTAAGGACATTACAACCATTGGGTCATATTCACAAACTTACCATTGATGTTACAGTAGAATGAAGTCAAGGTCATGTTATTGTTGATATAATACCTCTAAATCATGCCCCCTGGGGACCAAGGGTAGAATGTGTCCCCATGACCCCACTGGTCGTGGGAGGCGACCGAGTTTGGCAACCCGTTTGCCGTGGGCTGCGCCCCTGTGTTGGTATAGGATGGGATTCTGGTGGTTGAGGACACTGGAACCAGTGATAGCACCGATTGCCATGTGTGTGCAAACTGCAACGGGGTAGCACATGTCCTGCCCCAAGCTTTGTCCAGTATTTGAAAAAGAATCGAAAATTGGCAAAATATACCAACAATATGTCTTTCTCTGATGCCCAGAAATTGATAGCAGACCAAGCTCCCAATACTCCTTTATCAAAGTCATACTCTGTCGCAGTTTGTTTCTTCAATCCAAAAGGTGAATAGTGCGTGTCAGACAGCAATTAGCTGTGTCAAAGATCAACAAACAATGCTGTACCTACTTTCTGAGATGACCGAATCCACTGAAACACAGACTGATATACCATCTACCCCCAAGCCAGCTGACCTTACACCAGACCCTGTAGCCAGAACTGAACCTATGATTGAAATTCACACTGAACAAAACATCGAAACGAAAAGAAATGTACGTTTTACCAAAACCGCTAAAACGAAGATGAGCTTAGGCCCTTGAGCATATTGAGGTGTATTTACTAATACCTCTGTAGGTCATAACAGCTTTGAACCTCTAGATATGGAAATCTCTCCATCGCTGTAATTGCAGTGTAGAGGACCCCTCTTTCTCGATCTCCATTTGAGCCGTCATGAGTTGATCTGGCAATTTTATACAATGGAACAATTTTCATGACCTGCAGCTATTAATTCAAGATTTAGAACCGTTCCTCAAAACCGCTGATAAATTTGATATAAGACAGTACTCTTCCTATCATTGTTTTTCTCCTCCAGATGATAAAGCAACTAGAGGATATTCTGTTATGGTAAAACAGGACGCCATTCACAATCTTGTTTCTCTGAAGAAAACCTCTTCTGATTGTTGAAGTACGTGTAACATTAAATATAGTTTTTACATTATCTTCTTTGTATGTACCACCATCCCATTCTCTTCGACGGTCCGACATAAGATAGTTTATGACGAACTCCCCGAGCCCTGTGTTATCATAGGAGATTTAAAAGTCCATAACCCACTTTGGGTTAGTAATAGGACCAATTCAAATGGTAAATTACTTGAGGATAATGTTTTTTAACAACGATCTATGCATTTTTATTGATGGTTCTAATACATATTTGGAACAGGAACCTACTCTTGTCTGGATCTATTAGTTGTAGATTCTCATTTACTGAATGAATGTGAATGGTCCGTCCACGATGACCTCAGTGGAAGTGACAATTTTTCAACAATAACGCCATCTGATGTTCCCCCATCATCAAAATGGAGTTTTACAAAAGCCAACTGGGCATTATATGAAATCCGTTGCACTACCTAAATAATACCTGACATTGTCTTTGATGTTTCCGACCCTATAAAATTATACTGCAATGAAATTCACATACATAAACCATGGTTTAACAATGACTGCAAAGAAGCTATGAAGGCAGGGGAAAAGGCTGACAGTATTTCCGTAGCAATCCCATGGTACCAAATATAAATAAATTCAAAATTATAAATGCTAAAGCCTGGCGCAGTTTTAAACAAAACAAACGCCAATCTTGGCAAAATTATGTATCCAAGAAAAAATCACTGACGCTTATGTCTAAGGTATGGAACATGATTAAGAAAATCAAAGGTAAGGATACTAAATAAAGCATACACCATCTTAAAAATGGGGATCAGTTGTTAACTGATAAGTCAGATATAGCAAATATACTTGGTGAAACTCTTACTGAACATTCGTCCACGTCTAACTATATACCTTAACCTCAAAAATACCAAAAACAGCAGGAAAAGAAAACTATTAATTTTAAATCAGGTAACGGGGAAGATAATAATGAATTATGTTCTATTCATGAGCTCCATACTGCCCTCAGACAAGCTCATGATACTGCTACAGCAGCTGACAATATCCATTGTCAACCCATGAAACAATTACCAGAACCTTGTTTAGAAACGTTGGTATGTTTATTTGATGAAATGTGGACCTCTGGTAAATTTCCTTCATCATGGCATGATGCCATAGTTGTTCCCATACCCAAATCTGGACGTGATCATACCGATGCCGCAAATTATCGACCGATTTATTGACTAGCTGCGTTTGCAAAACCATGGAACACGTGGTTCAGAAAAGATTGACATGGTACTTAGAATACAATACTTTAATCACACATATTCAATGTGGTTTTCGTAAAAGTCGAAGTACTGTTGACCATTTCGTTGGATTGGAGTCATTTATTAAAAATGCCATTATAAAAAATCAACATGTAGTGTCTATCCTTTTCGATCTAGAAATGCTTTTGACACTACATGGAAATATGATAGTTTAGAAGATATACATAATTTTGGTTTGAGAAGCCGTTTGCCTCTATTCATATCCAATTTTTTTACTGACAGACAATTTCAAGTCCGTGTGGGCTTAACCGTGTCTGACAAGGCACTATCTTGTCTGTTACATGTTTTAGGCAGATAAATAGCCTCTCAACGGTTAAATGATTCTATAAATGGATCACTTTCCGTGGATGATTTTAACATATCTTGTCGTGGTAATAATATGCATTCAATAACAGTAACAGTTGTGTCTAAAAACAATTAAAAAATGGACGCTAGAAAATGGCTTTAAATTTTCTGAAGCCAAGATCGATTGTATACAATTTCTGCCGAACATATCAGCCACATCAAGATCCCGAACTACATTTGGATGGCACACCCATCAAAAATGTACTGGGGGCTTATTTTCGATAGCCATTTGACATTTAAAACCCCATATGAATATCTTAAAGCCAAATGCCCGAGGGCGCTAAAGTTATTAAAAGTCGTTTCAAGTTCAAAATGGGGAGGTGATCAGAAAACCCTTATCCAAATTTATAGAGCCCTCATCCCTTTAAAACTTGATTATGACTCCATCTTGTGTGGAGGAACATACAAAAGCAATCTGAATATATTGAATTCTGTTCATCATCAAGCACTACGGCTCGTCCTTGGATCCTTAAGGACTTCTCTAATTATTAGTTTATATGTGGAGGCTGACGAACCATCAATTAAAATTCGCAGTATGAAATTATGTTTGAAATATACTACCAAATAACCTTCAAATCAATCTAATCAAGCATACTACAGCGTTTTAATCCCCTATATGAGGAACTTTACCAAAAGAAATCTTCTCGTTGCTCTTGGAATAAGGATAAAAACTGCAATTTCTGATGCCAATACACACCTCGAAATTATTTCACCTAACCGTCTTCACCTCCTTGGCAACTGGTAAAGCAAGTTCATCCTGACTTTCACAAAAATAAAGAAATCACAAACTAATCCACTTATTTATCAACAAGAATACCATCAACTGAAATATAAATATATATGATAGTTACAGATCTCAGTCTATATTAACAGATGGATCCAAGGATGGTGCCGCAGTTGCTATCGCTACTATCATTGGATCCAGAACCATATCGTTCAGGTTACCACGTGACAGTTCAAATTTCACGGCAGAATCAAATGCCATTTTAACAACTCTTAAATATATAAATAATTAATCTAAGCATAAGCAGTTCATACTATTTTCAGACTCTCTTTCGAGTCTTCAGGCTACTCAAACTATTAATCGAAATTATATAAGGATCTAGCTACTGGCCAATACGACATCATTTTCTGTTGGTTACCCAGCCATATTGGAATCGTTGGAAACACAATGGCTGCTGCTGCTGCTGCTGCAAAAGCAGCATTCAACAAATCTGTGAACCCACTTCTAATCCCATACATGGATATTAACCTGTAATTAAACGTTACTTCAGAGATCTTATGCAAAAGAAGTGGGACACCCAAGTAGGTGTCAATAAGTTACATGAAATTAAACCAACTATCGCTTCACCTGCATGGGTTGTTAGTCCAGATTTGACGAGGTCATCATGGGACGATGGCGTATTGGCCATTCACGCTACATTCAAGAATATTTATTGAAAGGTGAGGATCCTCAATTCTGCATCCCTTGAAAGAATCATGGCCAGACGTGTCCTACTTGACTGTATTGATTTTTCCATCCCAAGGGATCAATATTTCAAAGAATTATCTATTAAGGATATTTGTACTAGTATTAATTCTCGTTTAATTCTTAGTTTTTAAAGGATATAGAACTGTTTGCTAAATTTTATTAACATGTTTTGTACAAAAACTAACGTTTTAAAATTGGTAGTTCAAATTAACAACTAAGATTGAAGGGGTACAGTAAAATTAGTGTCCGCCTGAGAGGATACATCTTTCAAAGGTCATTTAGAAAGATCACATCTTTAATCGTAGTATATTTGTTAGTATTAACTGGGGGTTAAAACTGAGTACAATCGCCAGCGGCTGAAGGGATGGTGAGGACCGTGCAGGTAGCAGAAGTATCGTAGGTCCCCACGGTCCCTAGTATGGTGGCCTACGTTTGTTTGCTGGCGATTAAAATCTCTGTGATATTCTAGTTATTGTACTGTCCTTCGGCAAAATGTTTTATACAGTATAAATATATTTGTTGTAAATGTATGACTTTATCCGGTCGCGATATGGCTGAGATAATGTCAATATGTAAATATTTACTCACTCACTCACTCAATCAATCATGCATTCTGATGATCTCGATGAAGGTGTCTCTTGTGGACTCAGTTCGTTCCATCTGGTGAATGCACTTACACAATATGTTGTTTCTACCCGTAGGCGTTCCACATGGACGAGACCTGTTCTACCTGTTTGGTTGTCCTTTCTCTGGGCATCCCCTGTACAACTATACCGAGGAAGATCGACAGATCAGCAAAGTCTTCATGAACATGTGGATCAACTTTGTCAAGACAGGGTGAGAAAATGACCTCCCTGTGAAATATTGGATAGTCACGTGATTTTCATCATACTATCTCGGCATGTACTCAATATATAGGCATCAATTTGCCTCTTTAACCTCACATTTACTGCATTTACAAATAAAACATGTCTTGAAAAAATATTTATCCCTGTTTCTTTTTGTTTAGGCAGTTAAATACTGTATCTATCATTGTATCGCCACATGGAATATGAATACTGTTTCTCTTATTTACTGTATCATATACAGCACAGCGTGATGTTTCAGGTGGTTGAGGAAGTGGCATCGCTTGCTTCACTGGTCTCAATTAATCTGCTTTTTCTTTCGTCCGTGACTGTACATGTAGTGTGAGCTGGTATCAAGGTCCTCCGTTTGGTGACAAATTGGAATAACGTGCATGATAAATATGTGATTTGCACTTTGATCATGACCTAGCATTAAAATTTTAGAGGCCAATGTTAAGAATAACTCTCATCATTCACAGATGTTTCATTGCATAAACGTTACTCTTCTTTACATACCCATTTCATTTTATTTCATTAGGAAGCCGTCATCAACTGTCAAAACCGATCCAGTATTCTTTCAACAGTTTGATAGCGAGATTCAAGCATATATGAAAATCGATGTCGTTGATGGCAACGGAACAATTGAGACAGCATATAAGCCTCGGCCTCGTCAGATAGCGTTCTGGAATAGTGTGTTGCCACAGATTGCTGCTCTGCAATCGCAATCGATACAAAGTGAAAAATACGGTACAGTAACCTGGAGTTTGGCCTCAGTAAGTGGCATATTGTTCCTGTGTGTCATTGTAAGTGTGGTGTTCCTAGTGCGAAAACAGCATCTTGCTTCTCAAGTTAATTAGAAACCATTAGTGTAATAATTTATTGGCGGATATCCTTTGCATGCTTCAATCAGATATGAAATCGGTACTTGATCAATACAGTACTAAACATGCGCTGGTAGTTAATTCGTCACTGATTAATACTATCGCTATTCTCGTAGGTTTCGCCATTGTATTTTCTCACAGCAGATTTCCACACAGTGACAGACCCGTGAAGATCCGGGGTCTTCAGCAACCCATACTTGCCGTAAAAGGCAACTATGCTTGTCGTTAGAGGCGACTAACGGGATCGGGTGATGAAGGCTCGCTGACTTGGTTGAAGCATGTCATCGTTCCCATTTGCGTGGATCAATGCTCATGATATCAATCACTGAATTGTCTGGACCAGGCTCGATTATTTACAGACTGCAGTCATATAGCTGGAATATTACTGAGTGCGGCGTAAAGCAACAAACCAATCAACCAACCAACCAACCACACAGTGATAGAATTCCAATACGGTTTATATATTCAAAGAGGAATTGAACCCAACACACATACTATTTATAAAAGTACACATGTTCTCTGTATTTTTCCACAAAATGCACTGTCGAATATTAATATATTGTCATCAGTGATCTGATTATGTAAATCTTCGTGTTGTCATATGATTTAATAAAATATTAGACGATGCTGATGTATGTGCATTTTTATGAACATGTCTTAACATACTACACTGGACATGCTTCATCATAATTATTGTCTCCAAGATACGATATATAATGAAATAGACATATGTTAAAGAGGCGAATTCCATCATCAATGGAAACAAAAGGAGGCCAAACCAAAAAAAAGGAGGTAAATTTGAATCAATATCAAAGTAAATAGATGCTTCTACAATCCGACATGAAATAGTCTCTAAGGCGACTAACGGGATCGGGTGGTCAGGCTCGCTGACTTGGTTGATGCACGGTCATCAATCCCAATTGCGCGGGTTGATGCACATGATATTAATCACTGGATTGTCTGGTCCAGACTCGATTATTTACAGACCGCCGTCTTATAGCTGGAATATTGCTGAGTGCGGCGTTAAACAACAAACCAACCAACCAACCCTTGCCAGTGGAAAGATGAGATATGGTTTCAGTCACTGGTTTACCTGGTCCAGAGTCATTACTGGCATTCTGCTTAGTTCGGTGTTCTTCGCCATTCACTTCCTGACTCTTGTGAACTTCTCGAAAAGATTAATAAATATACAAATTTAATTTAATTACGAAAACAGTGCTGGGTGGGGCGTTAAACAACAAACAAAAGAAAGAATGTATGTTCCGCAGGTCCACCTATTTAATCAGTTTAGTTTATTGTCAAAGGTGGAATGGGGACCTAGGATTCCTTTTGAAAACCCAATTTGTTGCAGAAGCTACTGGAAAAGATTTTGCTTCAGGTTTTGTTTAAAAAAAATCATTGTTCGCTGGACTTGTTGGATGCCCTGATAAACAGTGCTCTGTGAAACTGGTTAGTCTTGAAGCAGTGACCCCAATAATATCAAATGGTCGATATAAGTAAATACCATTGTTGGTAGTTGTAGCTGGAGACGAGACCAAAGGCGCTGCCCATCATTTAAAGACAACATACAGTGCCGTCATATGAACCACCCCTCTCTGTAAGTTCACGCCCAGCAGCAGATGCATCGCAACAACACACACATTGCTGTGTTCGCCCTACTGCGGGTTCTCATGAGTTAATCAACAGCGACCGTCGATCTGCCGACTCAGTTCCGTGTTCCGTGTCACAACTGCAGTCTTACTCAATGTTTCTCACTATATCCAAGTAGTACTATATACAAGTAGTGCAGCCGTTTCGTGAAAAATTGTGCACTTATGAGATGAAAGCATGATTTGATTTGACTTAGGTAGTCCAAAGCGTAAAATAAATTAAAATAGTGCATTCTTGCCTTTCTTTGGCATCTTATCTTTAAGACACACGGCATTAAAGCCGATTAACTATACTAATAGTGTATACTCATATGGTAAACAACAGAATATTAAAAAACTATTTATTTATTTATTTATTGAAATATGTTTGTACATCGCTCATGTTGTGTTTGGTTAGTGACAATATAATGTGATCACATTTGCAAATGGTGAACTAATTAAATGTGCCACAACACCTTGCTCTGCACCCCATCTCAGACTAACAACTATATCTCAGAAGCTCTTGACATGACTTAGAAGCTTGTGGTAGTGTAGTCTACAAAGGCTCATAGCCATATGCATGTGCTGCTGATATTACCATCCCCAGTCAGGTCTCCAGACTTCGTCCCCAACAGTAGCCAGCTTGAAAAGGATGCAGGCTAAAACGGCACCTCAGCAAAATGTCACCGATTTCTCTGGCTACTAATTGTCGGGCGAAAACGGCAACTCTATTTTTAATCACGATAAGAACGTTTTATGTGGTAGTATATGTGCTTTATGTACAGTTATTCTATATTTATCACTGCCTTGTATCTTTCCACAAATATCATTGTCATCTTGAATGCCGCTTTTAACAGTATTCCAGTTATATCATGGCGTGTCAGCTTAATGTGGGAGGAAAGCCCGAAGTGATGCAGGTCTCAGACGTTTACCACTTCGGTGAAACGTACGAGCACGGGTATGGTGCTGACAAACCTAAAAACATAAGCGGGGCGAACCGAGATTCGAACCCACAATCATAGGTTTCTGGCGTGCCCAAGGGACGCAAGTCTGCACAGCGAATCGCTGCGCCTTAGACAACTGGGCCACCCGTGCCCCAGTCATGCCAAGAGCTTCTGAAATATAGTTGTAAGTCTGAGAGCGGGTGCAGAGCAAAGTGTAACTGTGTTGTAGCACATTAATCAGTACACCACTTGAGAATGTGCTGGCGACTGTAATCACATTTAATTTTCCCTAGCCAAGCAAACCATTAGCATATTTCAATAAATTCAACTTTTCTTCTTTAAATATTCTGTTGTTGTCATTGTATTCACCATATGAGTGTACAATATTGGTATAGTTAGTTGGCCTCAACGAAGTATGTCTTAAAGATATGCAGAAGTAGAAATAAATGCATATTTATTTTACACTTTAGATTACATAAATCAAGATACATAGTCAGTTATGACAAAGTTATTTACTTTAGAGATGTAGTGTTGGTTAAATACTTTCCAAAAGTTTGTGGGTCATGTTTACATGAGACATACTAAAATTACATTCCTCCATGGCGGCCATATTGGATTTTTTGGGGTGGACCCACATCTGAAAACATTTGGAATGTCATTACCTACAAGTATGCCAAGTTTCATGCTGTTATCACAAACTGCACAACTGACCCCATATCTGTCACGATACGGGTGCACTAATATTTCGTCCTGAATTTAGTAGTGAGTGAGGAAAAGTATGCTTCTGAATATTCGATGTCACGCTCAAGGTCCAGGTCAAGTAGTAACAACATGTGAACCATGTTAGATGTGGACTTGCTGTTAGCACAAGGGGAAAATCATCGTTATCACTTTCAACTACAGACTAGTGGCTCTCGGTATGTGCAAATGTAGAATGTTTTATCTTTCCAGAAACCAGTGTATTTATAGATATATGATAGGTGTTAACAGAACCCAGCGTTTCCTTAGAAAACCATTATTATATAACAGATGTTAAGAGCTTTTAAGAAAATGCGTACGATGAACACTAATCTAGCAGTGAGTAATTACCCTAAAAACGTAAGAAAATGTACCCTTCACACGCTGCATGTTCACTCATACATAAATTCAGTATTCAGTATTCATCAACTTTCAAAACAGTTTAATAATGTTTTAATAAGAATAACACTTTACCTTGTTCAGGTTCAATCCAATAAAAAATGCAATCTAGACGGGTTTTTCTCTTGCATTGACAATTTATATTTCACTACATGTTTGACATTTGTGTTTTATTGTATTGTAATAATGACACGAAAAAAATACCCAATGGTTATGTACAAAGACCTTTCAGTTTGTAATAATACTTATCCTTATCCTTATCCTTACTGAAAGAAAACAGACTTTAACTTAAAACTTATATATGTTTACAACAGACATTCCATTAAGTTCCTCTTTCAAGTATCTTTATGTATCATTTCACATGAGTACTACCCTTGGAAATACCCTCTGAACATGACGGCTCATGCCATTGCATTCGGTGATCTAATGGAAGGAATTTCCCTTCATGTTACTTCAAAAGCCCTATGTCATTAATCAACGGTTATTTTCCATAAAGTTTACCTTCACAGTCTGTAGCCGTTTCAAACATTTCCAATACTCTATTAATCTAGATAAGCATAAAAAACATCAATTTGTGGACTATATCAGTTGGTTTCAAATGAACCGACTTTGAGATATATTGGGTCAATATTCGTTGTTTATATGCTGCTTTATGAGTGCTACTGGTCTTCCTGCTCTCTTATAGTCTTCGGATGACATAGCCGCCCCCAGCTTTGATATGGCCACATGCCTTGCTGCCAGAACGAACAACGTCTACTTTTATTCATTATCATTGACATTACACAAATGTGAGTGAGTAAGTGACGTTAAACGCCCCTTTGAAGTATGGTTATAACATATAGATTGCTCTGCAATCAACAATGTTACATAGTGATAAATACAGTAAATTTACCTCGAGTTTAGCCTCAGTAAGTGCCATATTGTTCCTGTGTTTCATTGTAAATGTCAGGTTCATAGTGCGAAAATATCATTATTATTCACAAGCACACTAAGATTAGTTGGTATAAGGTATTCATGTTTTCAAGCATATACGAATTGTTACTTTATCCAATTCTCATTGTTCACTGTCGTTGATAATGCCAATGATTGGCATTGGATATATCAAGCGAAGCCAAAGTGGATTCACTGTACGTGCGTCGAGTGAGTTTGATTTTACGCCGCTTTTATCAATATTTCAGCAATATCACAGCGGGGGACACCAGAAATGGGCTTCATGCATTGTGCCCATGTCGGAAATCGAACCCGGGGCTTCGGGGTGACGAGCGAACACTTTTACCACTTGGCTAACCGACCGCCCCGTACATGCATTCAGTTGAACATGTTTATCACATACTACATTACCCATGCTTATTTGTGATACACTACTCAGTGTAGCGATACACTTTGATGTAATACAATAAAATACAACACCTAAAAATATCATCACATTGAAAAGACAACTTCCATCATCAAATCAAAAGAGGCACAACCAAAATATAATTGAGTTCCGCAAATTACAGTTTTGTTGTTCGTGGGTCTTAGATAAATGTTATAACTAAAACAACATGATAATAAACGTTAACTTGCTTGCATTTTAAGAAAGGGCTTACATGACAGTATGTACATCGTCGACCGACACAAGTGGAATCAAGCCTTTCATTGACAAGAAATAACACAATTATGTAATTTGCAGTTCATTGTGTTAATAGTACGGTAACACGTGTTACCAATCATGTCAAAGAAAGTCTTGGTGCTAAATGCTCAACGGCGTCCTTTAGCAAATTATGTGTTGTTTAATTGTGAAACACGTGAAAAAACGCCATAAGAACACACGCAGGCTTTCATTCATGCGATTGGAGTGCATTACGTTTCGACGATTTATGAATATTTTTGCAATAATTCAGTACTTAAATAATAGCATTAGTACTTATACATGTTCAGCAAATATTAATTGAAAGAATCATTACGCAAAACAGAAATAGAATATCGGACGACTTTTCCCGTTCGCTATTTCTATGCATTCAAGGTGAAGGTCGTAACAATCTCGCACAAGCAGATCTATTGCATTGATCAGCGTTGAGTAGCCGGCAGTCATGTGCCATAGAGGTGTTCACGCATACTTCTCATTAATGTTCCACAATTGGGTCAAATATTCAATCTTTTTAGCATTTTAATAAAAGTCTATATTTCAAATTAAAAAATGGTTGTTTCTCTTCAATCTGTTCTGATGAAAGTTGTGGATATATCAAGTCAGTTCGAAATTCAAAAGAGAGGTTGAAAGGGGGAAACTATTGTCCGTTTTTACTTTTAGACTTGTATAGGTGCTGTGGGCTTCCAGAGGCCATTGTTGTCGGACCGCCGGCATATTGCTGGAGTATTGCTGAGTGCAGGCGTTAGGCAACAAACACTTACTTCATAATGGAAATTGTGTGTACTCAGATAAGATTCATAACTGTTTTGCCTTATTTGCCCTCAGGAATCTGTCTATGCCGATATTCAAGACCGATTATTCTCTGGCATTGACTTTAAGAATTTGCGTGACATTTTACCTGTAAGTATGCCCAAATAGCTAATATACTGAGGGACAAACGAAACTATACCTCTCATTTGATTTTATCATATGTTATTTTTTCCGTTGAAAATATCGATATTATATTAAAAAATGAACTGTACTGGCGCTTAGTCAGCACTCCAAGAATTCTAGTTTTATATGTTTTTGTTTTTTAAAAATATACTTTGATTTTAAACTCTTAAGAATTAAAAAACACGTTTTCGTATATATAATACACATGCAACTGCTGATAGGTGTCCTGGACATGTTATCTTCTGAAATCAATAAATCTGCTTTTTTCGGCACAAATTTACATTTCAAACATGGTAGGGGTCATTTGGTTGTGCAAAAATTCATTTCGTTACACAGTCGTCATTGAACCAATATATTTTTACACCAAATTACTTAGCCACAGATTTCTTTTTACAAACTGTAGCAGGTTTGAGTGATGGCTAAATGGGCACACCGCATTGAATTGTTCTGAGAATGTCTCTCCCAGTAGCTCTGGATATATAACTATACAGTGCGTTTTCATTTATGAAATAAGTGTAAAAATATAATCCCGCTAACAAGGACACGTGAGACCGATTACAATCAAGGTATTTAACCGCAACCAGTATTTCATCGCAGTTAGTGTTATTGATCTTCGACATTTGGCTAAACGCACAACCAGCGGCACTGGGATGACGGCGGAACTCCTATTGATCATGTAGGGAAGATGAGGTACTGGAACTCACAGGTAGGTGGGATAACTGGTGGTCTATAGCGACCTTTTAAAGATGAATAGTATAATAATTGTTTAAATGAATTATTAATACCTACTGGACAAACCTCAAATGTCATAAATCGATGATATCAAGCGAATTACTGTGCCAAACAGTGAAAATCTCTTACACGACCTAGGTAAATAGGTGAAATGGGTTTAACGTTGTGATGTTAGGCTATATGTGGCATCTGTGGAGAAGGAAGTATCTATACCCCACACATAATAAAACCCTACCATCACAGCTGCTGTGTATTAGGGCACATGTGTCTATTCCCCAAAAGAAGAAGAAAATATGTTGTGACAGCTACAGTGTATTAAAGGAGTATATGCGTTTCCTTGCAAAGGTAGAAGGACACCTACTGTCGCAGCTACAGCGTATTAAATTGCACGTGTGTAGTGAGGAAATAGAGAAAAAATGAGTTTTCTGAGAAGAAAGAAGAAACCTGCTATCGCTGCTACAGTATATTAGGAAAATGGGATTTTCTTAGAAGGTGGAACACCTACTATTGCAGCTTCCGTGTATTAGAGGAGATGTGTTACTGAGAATAAGGCAGGACACCAACTATCAAAGCTTCAGTGTATTAGAGGAGATGTGTTACTGAGAATAAGGCAGGACACCAACTATCAAAGCTTCAGTGTATTAGAGGAGATGTGTTACTGAGAATAAGGCAGGACACCAACTATCAAAGCTTCAGTGTATTAGAGGAGATGTGTTACTGAGAATAAGGCAGGACACCAACTATCAAAGCTTCAGTGTATTAGAGGAGATGTGTTACTGAGAATAAGGCAGGACACCAACTATCAAAGCTTCAGTGTATTAGAGGAGATGTGTTACTGAGAATAAGGCAGGACGCCAACTATCAAAGCTTCAGTGTATTAGAGGAGATGTGTTACTGAGAATAAGGCAGGACACCAACTATCAAAGCTTCAGTGTATTAAAGGACACTCATTTATTGAGAAGAAAGCAGAACACCTACTATCAAAGCTACAGTGTTTATGAGGACATGAGTGTACTGAAAAGGAAGCAGAACACATACTATCAAAGCTGCAGTGTATTTAATGACACTCATTTATTGCGAAGGAATCAGAACACCTACTATCAAAGCTACAGTGTATTTAAGGACACATTATTGAGACGAAAGCAGAACACCTACGATCAAAGCTACAGTGTATTTAAGGACACGCATTAATTGAGAAAGAAGCAGAACACCCACAATTAATACTGCAGTGTATTAAAGGACACGCATTTATTGAGAAGGAAGCAGAACACCTACAATTGCAGCTACAGCGTATTAGAGGACATATTACTCCGAGAAGAAAGCAGAATAGTTTCTATATGTATTTGAGGACATGGCAATAATTATCTAGTACTGTAATAAAGTCATACCCTTTGTCTTAGATTCAATAGTATTACTCATCCGATCGAAGTTGACAGTTACAGCACTTTGGGCGTCATCGCTTTCATGGCAATTAAAGTAACATATAAAGGGCAAATTATGTTCATCCTACTAGATAGTCTTCTACACCAGGATTTCGTAAAACACGAAAGTAAGAGCCTTGTCTTCAAACACAGTAAAACTACACTTTTGTAGCATGCATTGGGCAATGCCATCGAGCTCAATACTATTACCGTAACACGTACAGCGCATTGCCTCCGAGAGTAATATTACACGGTTGTAAGGGAGCGTTGGCGTTCCAGTGTGTGAATAAGGTGGATAGATTTCGAAAATGTGTACTCCAAAGCCGTTTGTATGTAACCGTTCTCATAATGGAATCTACCATAAGCCAACAGCTTGACATTTCGCTTAAGCAAAGTGGTTTCTCGAGAGGGAGGAATGGACTAATGCAGATGAATTACATTCAGCTGATATTTATATCCGGCCCTAGCTGGCTAGCTGACGCGGCAAAGGTGATGTAACACCAGCGAGACGTGAGTTATTGATTCGCTTTTTTCTGATTCATTGTAATGCAGGAACGTCCCATTATTACTTCCGTTTAGATCGATTTAGTGATATTCCTACTGAGAGGTGACTAGAAGTGTGTGATAGATCTAGAATTCATCACGATACTGCCATGGTTGGGATCAACTTGCATTTTTAAAGACCGTGCTCTTTCAGCATACAGAAGGTTATCACAACCTATTCCCTAGCAATCCAGCGACATCTACCACGGTTGTTGCCACAGCGCAGTAGTCCAGTGTGCGATCAAATTGACTGGGCAGCTAAAGCGTGGACGTTCACTTTAAAAGAAACACTATGCTCCGCGGTTTATTCAGTTTTGTTCTATCCAGATAGAAGACGTAAATGGTACCCAGTATGTGTAATTAGGGTAATCGTTAACTGTTGGATTGATATTCAGAATAATATTTAGGTTAGCCACAAACCAAATGGTGCTTGAAGCATTTGAACCAAAATTGCTGGGACTGCCAATCTGTCCCAACCGTGTCTCCCTTTAAATGTTGACGTGGTTCGAGTCAATCGTCAGTGTCAACAAGTTATATTCAAGTTAATTAAAACAATTTGTTTTTGTTTGTGTATGATGTGTGTGTCAGTCCAGCAGTTAATGGTTATCTTACTTCCACGTGATTATCCTAGTGTCACATGATTATCCTAATGTTACACAAGGCAATGCCTCGGGTTCACATAATCACTGATTTAGTGCAGATTCATTTGTCATTCTTGTTAACCACTGACCAATGCAAGGTATCGCCACGGCGCAGTTTTGTAAGCGTTAACGTTTATCTTCTCCAGAACCAACTTGTGAACGAGATAGAAGATAGTGCCAAAGGATATTTGAAACGTCTTTTCTAGATAGGTCTTCCTATACCCTCGCCAGCTACTTTCTGAATACATGCTGTGTCTTGGTGATAGATGGGACGCAGACTCGGTTCTATATCAATATAGCACTAATGGTTACCGTAAAAGCTCAAAGACAAGTGCGTTCAGGGGGCTCTAATTACAACGTCCAGACCTATATTTGGCACAACTTGTCATTGGAGCACAAGTTATTTTTTATAGCTACAAGTACTCCGTATTTATTCCATATGTAGTATATATTTCTGATGACAGAAAAGTATGGAGTGGTTTGTTTACAAGTCAATTTTCCACATAATGTACAGCAGTAATCAGTCTATTTTGGCTGAAAGTTCACATCTTCGTTGAATGTATAAAAACAAGTCGATCGTAAATACAGAAGACGTCCCATATTCGAAATCTCTGTCGCGCCATCAGCTTTATGCATCGTAGAGTAGGATTCGCTCTGAACTGTGCTCTTTAAAAATGTATAGAGCGAATGTTGATTAACGCCGTAATATATTAGTACAATTTCAGTTTTATGACGATGGCCCTCCAGTACGCAAAGAAAACTTGTGGTCGACAGTGACATCTATGATTCAAACATCACAAATGGGAATAGTTTCATGCCTCATGTACATTGAGCCTAGAATCTTTGTACTTTGCACGACAGTCATTGACTACATGGCACCTATTTTACCCCGAATAAGGAGCCTACTTGGTGGGGTGAAGTTACTGAAATCTGAGCCCTATTCTTCTTTGTCTCTTATCTTTATTACTCTGATAAAGTATTTTCAAAGCCCAATATTACCCAATTTAGCTTTCCGTTTACCTTGCTGACTTTATTGTTGAAGCATCTGCCAAATGTCCTAAGTTTCCTTGTGTTATTTTCTCACACATTTATTTTACTACTATACAGCCAAACCTTGTACCCTACCCAGTACATCGACCAGATTAACGCCTTTCCTGATTAACGTACGCATTACCTTTTGATTATATAATATGGACATCTTCAACAATTATCGCCAGTTTCTGGACTAACAATGTACATGCAATGTCGTAAGAGTCGTCTAACGATACCGGCAGATCAGACTCACTGACTTCACTAATACAATTTAATAATAGATTTATTTCGTAGATCGAAGCTAATGATATCGATCACTGGGTTGTATGGTCGTGACTAGATTATTTAAAGACAGCCGTCATATAGCTGGCTCGCTACTGGGTGCGGCGTTAAAGAACAAACAAGCTTACAAACAAACAAATATTAGCTCTACCATAGTCATATGGCAAGTCTATGCCTCCTATTTCGTCCTATTATTGTGTAAAACAGCACTATCAATTGTAGCATATCGGCCTGAAGATGCCACGCTTATGGACAGGAGTATTGATGGGTGCCTACCTTGCAATACTTTGCAAGAACGAAGATGTGAACATCGTTGATGAAGAATTTTTCTTCCGTGACACCCAATATGGTCAGATCAGAGGCGCTGTTAAATCTGTACTGGGCTCCAAGAAGGTTGAACGATACCTCAGCATTCCTTATGCAGCTCCCCCCGTTGGAGAACTCCGATTTGAGGTGGGACGAGCGTTGATTTGTTTATCTGTTTTCACGGCATTGCTTACGTCTTGATAATACTGTATTTACAAGTGGGTTAAAATAAGTTTACAGATTATTGCTGCAAAAAATTGCTTCATCAGCCTTGAGGCTCCATATCACGATATCGGTGGCGGTCGGATAGCCTGGTGGTTAAAGCGTTTGCTCGTCACGCAGAAGACCTGGGTTCGATTCCCGACACGGGAACAATTGTGAAGCCCATTTCTGGTGTTCCCCGCCGTGATATTGTTGGAATATTGCTAAAAGCGGCGTAAAACCATAATCATTCACCATATCAGTATCATGCAAGTATTGATTGCACATAAGACCCGTTTAGATCCGGGTTAGAATAAGTCTTCAGCAACCCACGCTTGCCGTAAAAGGTGACTATGCTTGCCGTAAACGGTGACTATGCTTGTCGTAAGAGGCGACTACCGGGATCGGGTGGTCAGGCTCCCTGACATCGTGTCACCGTATCCCAATTGCGTGGATAGTCTGGTCCAGACTCGATTATTTACAGATCGCCGTCATATAACTGGAATATTGCTAAGTACGGCGTTAAACAACAAACAAACAAAGAACATGCAACACTATGATTACCATGGCATGGGCGTTTTAAGGGAAAAAAATTGAGTACGAAATTTGCATTGTAAACGAACACATGATCATGAAATTACTTCAGATCCCGGATGTTTCATGACTGAATGAACCCAAACCAGTGCGAGAAACCCATTTGAGATAACATATGTGTGAGATCGAATTCAAGGCCCGTGATTGGCTACTCTATGGTGATGACCTGAGGTCAAATTATGACGCACTTCTTTCCTGATCGTGTAATTGAAAAGTTACTCGTGCTTTCAGCAGTGGAATGTTCACCTACGTCTGTGATGAACGTTATGGCTTAAGAGTGTTGTCCCTCCTCTTCAACCCTCACATCGAAGTCGAATTAAGTTCAAACTACATCACGAACACTAAAACACTTCACGGTTTTGAATTCTGTGGGAAATTACTTGTTCTATGATATCATCCACTGTCATTTTAGGCAAGTTTTACTGAAAATGACCTCTGCAATTTAGGTACATCGGATATCTCGCCATTTTTGACCCATTACTATATTACCATTCACAGCGCTATGTAATGTATGGTTAGAAATCTAACTATCGGATTGTTACCCGAAGAATTGGATTAAAAAAAATAGCACCAATCACCAATGATAATTCTGAAACGTCGCCAATAAGACTAGAATCATTTCGATTGTTTTGAAAAATTCGGAAACACGAAGTGTACTTTCCGCCATATTGGATAGTGTTTACAAAATCACGTTTCACGCCATGACTGACGCAAAATCACGCACAACAACGCGTTTCTCACTAAATCTCTTGGTAACATTGAAAAACTTAAAAAACAAATAACAGTATGCAGATTGTCACATTGTTTCTTATTACTTACACAACACATTTATGTATATACGATCCCTCAATTAAAGAAAATCCTCCTATGAAAATCACGTGTACTATTGTCAGCGAACACGCCATTTTGTAAAAGTCGGTCACCAGTACTGATGTCATAGGGAAGTAAACATGATGCTAAAAAGCCAAGGTGATATTTTAGGGTGTGTAAAAAACAGATTACTGCATTCGTGCCTGTCGTATACCATTTATCTTACAACTCGTTGTTTCAAAGCGTATGTAACTCGCTTTTGCTCGTTAGATACGTTATGAAGCGACTCGTTGTAAGCCAAATGGTGTCTGACAGACACTTGTGTATTAATCTCTATGTATTGCATGCCCAACAATATATAAATGTATTACCCCCGAGGTGAAAAGGCATGTGTGACATGCATTGTTCAACATCAATAGTTGCAAGCTGCTAAGATGACGTGTCCAATTATCGGCTTGTGTTACTTATTTACAGAAACCCGAGGCACCTGCTAAATGGGAAGGAACACGAGATGCATTACTTACCCCTCCCTCATGCCCCCAGAGTAGTAATTACTGGTTCTATGTACATCTACATACTCCTTACTTCACTCACAGCGATGAAGACTGCCTGTACATGAATGTATACGTTCCACAGGTACGCTTCTCAGAGGTAGTGACTTTCAAGCCATGTAGTTTATGTCACTTCTATTCTAAACTTTATATTTTAAGGCAAATTATTTTTGTAGATGTAAACTCAATTATTTACCGGAAATAACGTCTGGGAGGAACGAGTGGCTCAGTCGTCTATAGCGCTGCAATTCGCCGTGAAGACTTACCCCATCAGTCGTGCCACGTCTGACACCTGCATCAAATCGGACATTCCTCCCATATTCAGCTGACATAATGTTCAAAGCGGCGTGAAAACCGACTAAGTCACTCAGTAAATAGTGCGAGGAAGATGTCTAAGCCCCCACTTTATCGAACACTGTTTCATGTCCCACTCCTTAAAAATTAATGACCGGTCCTTCAATAATGTTCGTATGTAAATCTCTTCATTTGAAGAAATAGAACTGTGTCATTTTTTCAAGTCCCCGAGTCCAACTACATGTGTGATACATTTTCGCGACCCCCCTCTTTCGCTGTGTCATTTTGTTATGACCATAGTTCTTATTCTTGAAGACAGGTGCTGCTGATGGCAAGATGGCTGTGCTTGTACACATTCATGGCGGTTCAAACGAATATGGAATGGGAGCCATGTTTGACGGAGATGTCTTGGCAGCGCAGGGAGAAATCATTGTTGTTAATTTCAATTACAGACTTGCAAGTCTTGGTAAGTAACTTGGATCGACGTTTTATTCTTTGGGTAGAAGAAACAAAGGCGTTCCATAAACACAGTCTTAGGTTCAGGGTTATACCTAAATCTAAGCAGAATGTTAAGTCGGTGTAAGACAACAAACACATCGTTACATCAGTGTGCAGGGTTAAGTTCCGGTGTTTTATTGTAAGGTGCACCATTAACTTGCATTTCCATGTCGTTGTGACTGGTGCCATCGGCAGGCAGGATACACTCACCTTTTCGCGAACACCTGGTATCATGACTATTTAATACTGGTTGGTTGGTTGTTTTACGCCGCACTTCCAGCTGTAATCCGGGGTAGAATAGGTCTTCAGCAACCCATGCTTGCAGTAAAAGGCGACGTTGCTGATCGATGCTCATGATATCAATCACTGGATTGTCTGGTCCCGACTCGATTATTTACAGACCGCCGTCGTAAAGCTGGAATATTGCTGAGAGCGGCTTTAAACAACTAAACAAACAAACAAACACATTCTACACTAACTTACTATTTCATGGCCGGTGAGGTAGCCCTGTTGCTCAAGTGTTCATTTATCACGCCGAGAATCACGTTTCGACATGGGTACAATGTGTAGCTAATTTCTGGATACTTGAATATTTCTAAACAATACGCATCCCCTAACTCACTACCATTTCATAGTCTCATGTATGGAAAAAGTGACTCATAACGTTGAATCTCATTTGTGAGACTTAAACTCAATTATGAAACTTGACGCTTCAAATTCTTGCTGTACTATCGTATTTACCTACCTTTTAATCCCTAATCCAGGCTTTCTCAGTGCTGGGCCAGAGTTTCCTGGTAACTATGGACTCATGGATCAGGCTGCAGCACTAAAATGGGTTTCCAGGAACATCCACTTCTTCGGAGGTGACCCAACAAAGGTTGCCATAGAAGGTCACAGTGCAGGCGCCGGGGATGTTGGCTTTCATATCTTGTCGCCATTGTCGAAAGGTACTCACTTTTAAAACCAATTCTGCGTAGATTACTTTGTGGTGCATTTGGTAGTTTTTACAAAAATTAAATTCAACTCATTTTGAAGGTTTTTTCCGCTACGCCATAATGCAGAGCGGATCTCCGACAGCCGACTGGGCTTTGCTTCAAGACACTAACACAGCTATATCCAGTGCCACAGAGTTTGGTGAGAAGCTCGGTTGTTACACTTCCAAGGATATGTACAAACTCAAGCAATGTCTTAAGACGAAACCCTGGCAATCCATCATGAGGATAAGGTATGCGGTAAGTAAAACTAGTGGTGTATAAAGTGTCAAACCATCCAATTTGAAACATTACTTTTATGACAAATTCCCCTTATACGTTTTGTTTGTTTAATATTTAATAATACAGCTATATCACGGCAGTCTGTAAATAATCGAGTCTGGACCAGACAATCCAGTGATCCCCAAATAATTAAAGACTTCAGTTAAGGTTCCTTGACACGGATTCTTCTCTTTATGGTTATCGTTTGGTTGCAGGCCAGTATGGCGTGATGGAATTGCATCCTGGAAAGGAAACACTTTCATTTACGATTAGCACTCGTATTACGACGATAATATGAAGACAGATTCTTAACTTCGTCTTACTTTTGTTTCTGTTTAGTACGCTCCGGGGAAATTCTGCATGTCTCCTGTTGTTGATGGACTGTTTATACAAAACAATACCACAAAACTGTTAAAAGAGGCTGAGTTAAACGGTGAAGCCTTCATGGCGGGGATTACTAATAATGAGGGTAGGTGTTTCTAATCAGAAAATATATTTATATTGCTCTTAACACTACGCTGAGATATTGTGTTACTATGGTTCCACAATGAGTTGTTTTTAAATGCGTGTCAATTTAATGGCATGGATGTACAGCTATGTTTTTTATCATCGATGTAGGAATTAAAACAACATATATGAAGTAATGTTGTTAAATCTTTAATCTGTAGTTGATGTTGTGCGAGCGCAGTTGTATGTGTAACGACACTTTCTTTCCCACCTCAAGGTACTATGTGGATGCAAGGTAGGGAAAATGTAGAGCTTACACCTCGCAATTTGGGAATATCCATTGGAGACACCAACAACCAAGTCGGTAATTATCACCCAAAGCTGATAATGCTAGCATTGGATAAATTGAACTCCAAGACTTTCTTTATTGATAAACACAATAATGTGCCTGACCTACCACATCTGAATGATAAGAGTACGCTATATCCGATGTTGACAGTCTATTATTCAAATATGTTTTGGCATGTCGCGTGGACACAAAACTGTTTCAATTCCTATGTAGATTACACTTTCCAAAATCGACAATAAATTATGACCTGACAGATTGTGTGTCACCCTCCTCGACGGTATAGGCGGTTAGTCGTGATGTCAACCACTGATTGACCTGCCCCAATTATGGAAACCGTCATTTATTGGTTAATTTAAAATGTGGCCACGATGAAGAACATTATTTACTAACTTGCAAAATATGAAAGCTACCAAAGTTAAGACGTTATGCTTACTTCATTAACTGAAAAAAAACAATTTCGAATGATAGGAACCGATGCCATTAAGGTAGGTCATGTTTACCAGGTCTTTTATCTTTCAAGTAAAATCCAATCTCGTTATTCACGAGTACAGACCGTGGGATGACCGCGACAACAACGCAGCCAACGTCACTGCTATTGCAAACGTGAGTCTATTGACTACAATACGTTTTGATAAATTCTCCTCAAGCAATATTTTTGCATTTTGTTCTATCATATAATGAAGAAGTGTCTGTCTTAAGAAATACTTTTAGATCGTCTATTTTCCCTGACTTTGTATCGAATATACAACGGCATAACTGGTAGCATTATAGTTTCTTCAAACAAATCCGAGTATGTGTGTGTTGTTTAATGCTTAGATCGATGTCAATCTGTGTATTTGTATCATGTACCCCTTGTAACTTTGTATTTAAGCTGTGTGGTATATACTCATAATAATTAATAATTTCGATTTGTTCACGATACAATGATTGTGTCAGTTGTGGTTCCCTGTGCGTATTATCATTTAGTGGTGCAAAATGGTTATCATTCAAACTATTGATGTGTATGGATTTTTTTATCATAATAAAATGCAAATTTATATGCAGTTCCAGTCAATATGTCTTGTCTGTTAACTTCATTTTATACTTTTAGTAGTAGACTGTTTCTTTCAGATTTTAGGTGACTCGATAATTGTTGCCCCCGTCGTAGATGTCGCCAAGCGCCTTAGTTACAGGACGGACCGTCTCTACTTCTATTCCTTCGACTATCATTCACCTGCCTCTACGGCACCAAAATGGATGGGTAAAGTCTTCACATAGATATAACTTCATAGCTCATTGCAATACAAACTGTGGATCGCCTCCGTGGTGTAGCGGATGGAGCTTAGTATATAATCGTCCAATGGACGCTGCTTTTGGAAGAGATTTCTCATTAATAGTAAAAGGGCTTTGTCGCTTTTATTGCAATTGATATTGCAAAACATATGCTATATATAGCGTTCCTTACAGAGCTTGTTCTAGTCTCTCAGTTGGTGGACATCATGGACAAAGCGCTGTTCCTTCAGGAAATGCTTTTCAAGATCGTTAACATGATATCTGTTTTACACATATTACATCTATTATTCTAGGTGTCCCCCATGGGAGAGATCTGTTCTACCTGTTCGGTTGTCCTTTCTCTGGGCATCCCCTGTACAACTATACCGAGGAAGATCGACAGGTCAGCAAAGTCTTCATGAACATGTGGACCAACTTTGTGAAGACAGGGTAAGAGACTCAACAACATACTATTGTAAGAGCAAACCGCTACTTTGAGAGAGGGGTTTAAGCATTCGCTCGTCACGTCGAAAACCCGGGTTCGATTCCCGACATGGGTACAATGTGTGAAGCCCATTTCTGGTGTCCCCCGCCGTGATATTGCTGGTATATACCTAAAAGCGGCGAAAACCATACTCACTCACTACTTTGAGAGAATTCCTGATATACTGACCATGTCTATTTCAAATGATGAAATACAGTTTCAAAACGTCAACTACAGTGAATAATCAGTTCCGATTATCTACCGAAACAGATGCGGTATTAAAGGCAAAAAGTGATGAAAATTATATGAATGGATCACTGAAAATCAGTGATGACACCCGGTGGTGGCGAAAGGGTATGCGTGTCCTTTTCTACTGGTAGGAACCGTCACTCACACAATTTATAAAAAGTAAGTATTTGTTTGTTTCCTAACCCGACATCCAGTTATACTAATGCCATACATCGGCGACATGCAACCAATCGAGTCAGGACCAGACAATCCTGTGATAAAAAAACCATCAGCAGCGGCTAATGGAACGGACCACATAGCCGTGTGGCAGTTTGGGTTAATGACTGTCTGCATTATTATGTGAGTGAATGTTGTTTTGCACGGGAGTCTATTTGGGCCTTTCAGTAATCGAGTTTTGGTCTGGTAAATTAATTTGTATGAAGACACACACTCCACCTTAGGCCAGGTCAGGTCACACAGATTGCAACTGTCTAATCCCAATTAATTCTGCACTTACGAAAAGCACAAGGATTCTTGGGACCCCGAAATGCCGACATGGTTTGTCAGAACGAATGAAGTGTGCAGAGTGTGTTGCATGGCAATTCAAGATACTCAGGTTCTTCTTAGGCAACGTCGTCATGGTTAATTAGAAATGAATATTCTGTACATAATGACAAAACATATGGACTACTGCTTGTTGGATATAAAAACGGTATCTAACGGGACTAAAACTGTGCACATTATCGAAATTCAGCGCTGAAAAAAGACGTTGTTTGTGTCCGGGTGGCTTATGAATACAACATTCGGTGCTGGTTATTCGATCACAGACTGTTCGCTCGAGGAGTAACCGAAAATAAAGTGTTCAGCTTCCTTCGAGGCGATTATGAGAAACGATATGGTGTCGGTTCTAAACACGTATTCATGATAGCATTTATATACACAAACATAGCAAAGTTAGAATTATTTGCATGCAACGGACAATCTGGCTTCAAACTCGGTTCAGTGAGGTGAGTCATGTCACGAAAGTGTATCGGTTGACATGAGGAACAGCAATGGGGGATCGAGCTGCCTTGTCGAACCCACTCAGAACTTTTCCCAGATTGTCAGAAGGGCTGTATTCCTGGTAGCAAACCCGGGTACTCTCCCAATGTCAGTCAACAGATTGGGAGGTACCAAACCTAAGGCACCGAGAACAATGCGGAGTCAGACAATTTGGTACTTGGGATGCAAGCGTGACATTTCGAAAGCGAGGTTTGCATATTTGCTATGTTTTTCCTCAATCTTGTCTAAAGGGACAGAAAATTCAATGATATAAATGATTTCTTTGGGTTTATAAAAAAGGACAAGATCAGGCTTGTTGGAGTGGATACGTCTGAGGCTGCAAATGGGCTTATTCCATGGAATTTTGTATTTATCATTTTCCATGACGCCCTCTACATTATCCGGGTCGTATCATAGGTGGACCTCTGTGTCGAAACCACAAGCATGGCGAAGACGGTAATAAAATGATCGAGTCACTCCATCATGTCGCTTAAGATACTGTGTTGGCATCCACTGACAATGTGTTGGACAGTCTCATTAAATTCATTACATAACCTACATTTCATATTTACATTTTGATGCAAAGTCACACATTGACGGTTTCGAGTGGGATGTGACTGTTCCTGTGCAGCAAGCAGAAAGCCTCCTGTTTCACTTATTCTGCGATAGATAAAAGGCAACCGCGAACATTCTTGACTTGACTCAAGTAAAACATGTCAAACATGAGATGCATTGCCTAGTGAAAAAATAGCAGTGTCTATCGAAAGTTGAGCAGACATTGCAGAGACCCGTGAAGATCCGGATCAGAATAGGTCTTCAGCAACCCATGGTGGTCGTAAAAGGCGACTATGCTTGTCGCAAGAGGCGACTAACGGGATCGGGTTGTCAGGCTCGCTGACTTGGTTGATGATGCATGCCATCCTATCCCAATTGCGTGGATCGATGCTCATGATGTCAATCACTGGATTGTCTGGTCCAGACTCGATTATTTACAGACTGCCGTCATATAACTGGAATATTGCTGAGTGCGGCGTGATTACCATGGCATAGTGCTAAATTTACATTGTAAACGAACATATGACCATGGAATTACTTATCAACAAACTTTGAGGAGTATATTTGCACATTGCTAACGACAGTCCCATTTCAAAGACCAGCCTGTGCCCAAAATAGTCCCGTTGGCACGTGTGTAATAAAAGTGTATTGTTTTTAAACGGGTGATATCTAAACTGGTGAGTGATAACAAAATGATTAGTTTCACAAGTTCATTAATGTGGATTATATAATGCATCATTGTATGACTAACAACTGGGTATATAATAATGGTTATATGTATCTTATTTTTTTAGAAAACCATCTTCAACTGTTGGAGCTGATCAGATATTCTTCGAACACTTTGAAAGCCAAAACCAAACATACATGAAAATCAACGGAGTGGATGGAAACGGTACAATAACTGTGGCGTATAAACCTCGTCCCCGACAGGTAGAATTTTGGAATTCTATACTCCCCCAGTTGGACTATCAGACGCAGAAAATAAGTGCAGAGTATGGAACATTGACATGGGGCTTGGTTGCATTAAGCGTCACACTGTTTGTATGTATGGCTGCAATTGTTATATTTCTGATATGTAGACGAAGACACTAGCAGGTATCCATTGTGCATCATGTAACACATACGGCGTAGTAAGCTGTGAAAGGTCTAGAGGTTGCATTATAAGTCGTCTTGTTGAAATATAATGTAATAACAAATAAGAAATATCGTAATGATACTGCAGCATAAATATTGTTCTATGGTCAACGTAAATGTTTCCCCCCAAAATACGTTCTTTCCATTGTAATATTAAGAACATGGAATTAAACGATTGAACCACACAGTCGAATGGTATTTTATTGAGGAATCGAATCAGTGTTTATGTTTGTCTTTATTTGAAACCTGTTACTGGGTACTCAATAAAGTATATTTAAGTCAGACAGTCGTTTTACGTACGTACGCACGCAAATATCCAGTATTTCATATCTCATTCTTGTGTGATATACAAAACCAAAAAGTTAGGAATCATACATATTTATGAAGGATATTTTATGAATATGCCTCAGTCTGATTGCAAAAGAACACCCATAAAATATTCATGATACCTGATTTTTTGTTCTGTATATATACCCCTAACCCTTTCGCTACCATTCCCTTAACATGCTTGCCGTAAGAGGCTACAAACGGGATCGGGTGGTCAGGCTCGCTGACTTGATTGATGCATGTCATCGTATTTCAATTACGTTGATCGATGCTCATGATGTCAATTACTGGATTGTCTGGTCCAGACTCGATTATTTACAGACCGCCGTCATATTGCTGGAATTTGGCTGAGTGTGGCGTTAAACACAAAACAAAAACAAAATACTGAGGAAAACATTATTTCCAGCTGAAAGAGCATACACACCAGATTTCAGATTCAATTAAAAACATCAAGAGCTACGATGTGATTTGCGAACTGTCTTTGAGGGGAGGCATTTTCATTGCTAGTTTATTTTATAGCGAGAAAAATTCAGTGCTAAGTAAGTGATACGAGAGATGGGGTGGTGACGTCACTTCCAAAACTAAGCGGTACTGGCGAATGTCTATGGCGATATGAAACACTGGAAAATGGACGGTGTATATAGTTATGCATTGTATGAAGTGTAATTGTAATGTAAAGAATAGTTGAAATGAGTGAATGAGTGAGTAAGTGGGGTTTTACGCCGGTTTTGGCAATATTCTCGCAATATCACGGTTTGGAGGTGGCACAGTGTACCCACGTGATCATTCAAACCCGGGCCTTCGGCACGATGATCGAACGCTTTAGCCACTTGGCTACCCCACAGCCCTAGTTGAAATGAAAATCTTTGCAAATTAATGTTGTCTTTTTGATTATGCATTATTTATTTTGTCAAATGTGTGTGCAGGGTGTGTGTAGGTTTCATATGATAATGTCTCATATTTTTGTTTTCTTGTGGGGTTTGTCCTAGCAAGTTTATCTTATGGAAACAACGATTATGAAAATATGTTTACTATGTTTTAAATGAGAGCGATCATGTTTACTGGAATATATAAGTATTAAATACATAGCTGTTAAAAGGTTCAGCCGCGTATTCTACTTTTTAGGTTTCCAATAAAATGTTTCCATTGTACATTTAAAGTTTGTTTGCACTGAATTTTGAATACTGTATATATATATATATATATATATATATATATATATATATATATATATATATATATATATATATGTGTGTGTGTGTGTGTGTGTGTGTGTGTGTTTGATTGCGAGTGGAGAACCACATGATTCTTTAGTTGTTTTATATATATTCACCAGCGACAATACATTATTTTATAATTGTAATGTTTAAGTATAATATGTACGTTTACAAAATAAAACATTTGCCTGTGATTAGCTTTTCTTTCATATTTAGGTTGTTGACCTTCTTTCAGATTTTCATGGGCGAATCAGTGACGTTAGCCTTGAGTCAGTCAATCAATCAATACATGAAATACTTACCATTTATACATCCATTCAAACATGACTTTCACTTGCTATCTAGCTGCCATATTTTAGAAACAGAAACATGTTGGTTTGTTTGTTTGTTGTTTAATGACACACTCAGCAATATTCCAGTGATTGATATCATAAGCATCGATCTACGCAACTGGTATACGATGACATGCATCAACCAAATCAGCATGCCTCACCTCCCGATCCCGCTAGTAGCCTCTTACGACAAGTATATTCGCCTTTTACGGCCAGCATGGGTCGCTGAAGACCTATTCTAACCGGGATCTCAGAAACATTTGCTAATTGGAACAAAGTTTGTATTTGTGTGCTAACCAAAACGGGTTTCAAACTATCAAACGCGACATAAAACCCTTTACTGTTTTACGTTTGGAGTCAAATGTAGTACATGTATGTATGTTTAATGTAGCAAACGAGGAATGATCTTTGCTCCTTTGAAGATCATGTACGATAAACTCTCACTAAAGTAAGTCCATGTACGATGTGTCTATCGTCCCGGGTATGATTCTTGACTTGATGCGCACATCATAGTGGGTGGGCAATGTTCCAGCAATCTCAGGATGGGGGACACCAGAAATTGGATTCACACATTGTACATGTAGGGGAATCGAACCCGAGCCTTCAGTGTGACAAACTGACGCATTTACCACTACTGCTAGACTACCCCATCGCACCGTCATCTTCATGACCGTTGGTTTCAGGTGCACCAGAGTTGTAAACATATAAGACTTCATCACATTGGGCTTCCTTACACATTAAGCTGACACGCCGGGATACAGTGAGTGAGTGTGGTTTTACGCCGCTTTTAGCAATATTCCAGCAATATCACGGCGGGGGACACCAGAAATTGGCTGTACACATTGTACCCATGTCGGGAATCGAACCCGGGTCTTCGGCGTGACGAGCGAACGCTTTAACCACTAGGCTATCCGACCGCCCCCGCCGGGGTACAGAGAGAGAATAGTTTCTTTCGTGTCACAGGCTTTTTTCACATTATTTTACAAAAGTTTGCACACATTGTTTGAATAAACACATCAGGCCAAGTTGGTGTTTGAGACATGTGATACAACTGGAGGTTCATCCTCACTATTCGGATAGTGTCAACAAGCATTTTTTGGGGTGGTTTGAAAGGGCAATAGAAACGTCACCTCGTATATTTACAAAGCCACTGAAAACTTAAAACAGGGTAATTTTACAACATGTTTGCATAACACTGACAAATCAAGCGGAAGAAATTAATTTTATCGACATGTTTTGCGAAGAAGGATAAAAGTCCAATATTCGATCACCAATAAAAAAACAACTATCCAGTCAGTAACAGGTGTGTCCTTCCCCGGCTTCGATGCAGTCTCTGACACGGCGCCGAGCAGAGAAAGTCAATCGCCTAATGGCGTGCACAGGGGTCAGACGCCATTCTGCCTGCAATGCCTGTGCTAACGCCACTCTTGTCTCTGGACATGGCTGACGTTGCCTAATCTGTCGTTCCAGGTGGTCCCACAGATGTTCTATTGGAGACATGTCAGAAGATCTTGCCGGACAAAAAAGAAGGTTCACGTTGATGGCGTTGAAAAATGCTCTGGAAATACGGGCTGTATGAGGCGTAGTGTTTTCTTTATGGAATAACGTTTGCGGGTGACGTTGAAGAAAAGGAAAGTGCAACTGGCGTTAACACTTCATCGATGTAGCATGCAGCTGTAATATTGTCATCAATAACAACCAGATCCGTCTTCATGTCTCCACAAATTCAACACCAGATCATCACACTGCCACTACCGCATTCTTCAATTGCCTGCACGCAACAGCGTTCCGTCCGTTCCCCTGGCCGCCGATAAATACACACCCTGCCATCTGCTTTGAAGGATTGGAACCGGCTCTCATCGCTCAACAGTACTAAACACCTCATTCTCTGACGTCGATGTTCAGGCGTTAACGTCATGCCCTTGAACGGTCAGTAGGCTCTCAGACCATAGTGACGAGGTCGTCTGCATACAGGCTTTCTGCTGATGGGATGACCAAGAGCATGTCATCTCGATGACGTCACTGTGAGGTACTAGTTTATGTTCCTAAGGTGAAGCAGCCGTCAATGGCGGTCTTCCTGAGGGGTGGTAACTCTGGGTCTACCGCTCCTAGGCCTGTCTGCTGTTCCACCTGTCTACCTAAACCGGCTGACTAACCTCAGTGTCGTCCTTCTCGAACAGCCGATTACCCCAGCAACATGGGCCTGAGTTGCCCCCATATTCAACATTCCATTGCCTTTCTCTCTGTTCCAATGTTAATCGAGACATGAGCACGTGTCGCAACTGATTGTGTCAATGCTAAAGAACATTTTCGCACCCGTTTTATACCAGATTTGCACACGGGTATTCAATCCAAAGGTTATGCCTTTTCCCAAGCAATAAGGACATTTTTCACCCAGCACGTGCATTTTGCGCATGTCAGTGATGGGAATGAATAAGCTGGATTCAGGCGATACGTTTTCATCTATATTTATAGGTATTTTGACATTGGTTGAAAATATATTGAAACTATAGTTGAGGTGACGTTTCTTTTGTCCTTGGGTTTATTAACGCTCGTTAATCCTTGATGGATTCACACTGGGGAAAGGAGGTGAATTTGACTATGTTCACTCACAGTTTTATAATTAGTGTACAGATTTGTAGTTAATCAATTTAATAATAGTAAGAGTCATGATAACTATTGATAATGATTCGATTTAATGATTCCCTGCAATGAAAATCACACATGTTTTAGTCAATACACAGTTCATTCCCAAATACACAAGGATTTAATCTCGACTGTCAACTTTACAAGGACAGAATGAGAAAATCAATGGATTCTCTGGTTATATGATATCACGTTTATCATGTACACGTTAAAAATCAATTATTTTGACATATGTTATAACCTATGTCTTGAGACGACCCTGCCGTCTACGGATTAAGTTTGCCTGGCTGCACTGAGTCGTCCAGGGTCGCGTTGTTTAAGCCATCAGCTGGGAACAGTGCTAGGCAGCCCTGGGAAGCAGTCAGTGGAACAGTGTGCTACCTTCCGCTGTGTCTGCACCCATAGATATACGTCACGTATGTGTATCTTATGAAGCAGGGCACTTTACAGAACATAGCTTTAGACTCTTTATATCCATATATATAGAAAGTCGGGGCTCATGAAATATAAATGTTAATATCCATTATTTGAACAAAGATACGTGTTGAAAACAAACATCCTTTGCAAGAACGTGTATGTCTGTAAGTTAACACCAAAACACATCTGATAGTTTGCACGTGCCGCACGCAGGTGCGCCACACACGTGACGATTCCTGATTTTATGATGAGCCGCCAGATTTGGCTGTGGATCGGTTATGATGTTGGGTGGCATCACTATGAGTGAGCGAATCCCAGTCAATACGATTGAAGGAAGGTTGACTGGACAGTATTATCAGGACAACATACTGACACCCTTGTACCGTTTGCACGGCGTGTGGGTCGACGTTTTGTCTTGGCCGTGTTCACCGTGCACGACTCGTCAATGCTCATCTCCAGCAGCACAATATCCATAGAATGCCATGGTCAGGTATGAACCCAGACCTTTCTCCCACGTCTGGGACCTGAAAGGGAGACGTGTGCGTCAACGTCATAGGCTGCCGACCACGTTGGCTGACCTTGGCCAGGCGCTGCAAGAGGAGTGGGTAGGACTCGCTCAAATCGCCATTGGGGTGAGTGAGTGAGTGAGTGAGTTGGGGTTAACGTCGCTTTTAACACTATTCCAGTTATATCACGGTGTGTAAGCTTAATGTGGGAGGAAAGCCCGAAGTGATGCAGGGCTCAGACGTTTACCACTTCGGTGAAACCCATGAGCACGGTTGCTGACAAACCTAGAAACATATTCGGGGCGAACTGGAATTCGAACCAACAATCATAGGTTTCTTGCGTGCCGAAGAGACGCACAGCACAGCAGAAGTCTGCACAGCGAATTGCGGCGCCTCAGACGGCGAAGAGACGCAAGTCTGCACAGCGAATTGCGGCGCCTCAGACGGCGAAGAGACGCAAGTCTGCACAGCGAATTGCGGCGCCTCAGACGACTGGGCCACCCGTGCCCCCAAATCGCTATTGGGAGACACATACGTAGTATGCCTCGTCTAGTGAATAAATGTTTGACACATCGTGGCAGTAATAGCACTACTGAACCAAAAAACGTCAACTTTAAAATTTCACATCTTATCCCTATCGTCCTTCAAGATCGTTTGAACATTGGCAATTTCATGCTATTCCGTGAAGATCCGGGTTAGAACTGCTCTTCAGCAACCCATGCTTAACGTGAAAGGCGACTAACGGGATCGGGTGGTCAGGCTCGCTGACTTGGTTGATGCATGTCAACGTATCCCAATTGCGTAGATCGATGCTCATGATGTCAGTCACTGGATTGTCTGCTACAGACTCGATTATTTAAAGACCGTCGTCATATAGCTGGAATATTGCTGAGTGCGGTGGTAAACAAACAAACAAACAAACAAACAAACAAACAAACAAACAAACTACTTCATCCTGAAAAACTTTTGTTTCGTTGTCGCGCCCTATGTTTTTTTTCATTTTGTTTCTCAGCTCTGCTTAGCACTTTCAGTCCTCAGCGCTGTCCGACGGCGAGCGCAGCGATGGACAGCACTGGATTACGCTAGGCAACCCAG